ATCCGAGCTGGCAACATCTGCCACCACTCTAAGTCCTCTCAAAAAAAGATAACCACCGCAGCGCAATCATCTACCATTGCAGTCCATATACCATTGCAACACACCATTACTAATCGAAAAAGCCCATCGTCTCAAGGAGATAACCTGCGGGTAAATGTGCAGAGGCCAAACAAAACGCGCCGACCGCCCCTACAGCAAGGTGGTCTGCGAATGAGGACGAAGACCAGGAGCAGCATCCCCAGTCCCCAGCCTCAATGTGAATAGGATGACTTGTCTGTATTGCCTGTAGCCTCTGGCAAGGCAAAGTCCCCGACTTTGCGGGATTGCAGGGTGTTCGTGTTTTGTTGGGTGTCCTTTTTCGCGCCTTGTTCGTTTTTTGGTGGAATTGTTACCAGTAGAGCCGGCGCAGCCGGTAGGCGGAAGATTTAAAAATATAAAAACAAAAGTTCTCTTTCTCTTTCTTTTCTTGACTCTTTTTCTCTTCTTCTTCCTTTTCATTGTTTCTTTTTTCTCCGTCATTCTTCCTTTCTTCCTTTCTTTCCTTCCTTCCTCCCTTCTTTCCTTCTTTCTATCTGTTTTTTTCTTTCCTTCTTTCGTTTGCTTGTTTTTGTGCTGTTCTTTATTTTGTCTCTTCTCTGTCTATCTATCTATCTCTCTATCTATCTATCTCTCGTGTTATCTATCTATCTATCTGTCTATCTCTCTATCTATCTATCTATCTATCTATCTATCTATCTATCTACCCATCTACCTATCTCTATCTATCTCTCTATCTCTCTTTCCATTTATTTATCTATCTATCTATATATCTATCTATCTATCCATCTATCAATCAATCTATCTATCTATCTACCCATCTATCTATCTCTATCTATCTCTATCTATCTCTCTATCTCTCTTTCCATCTATTTATCTATCTATCTATATATCTATCTATCTATCTATCTATCCATCTATCAATCAATCTATCTATCTATCTACCCATCTATCTATCTCTATCTATCTCTATCTATCTCTCTATCTCTCTTTCCATCTATTTATCTATCTATCTATATATCTTTCTTTCCATCTATTTATCTATCTATCTATCTATTTCTCTCTCTCTATCTATTTGTCTATCTTCCATCTGTCTGTCTGTCTGTCTATCTATCTTTGTATCTCTTTATCTCTCTCTCTCTCTCTCTCTCTCTCTCTTTCTCTCTCTCTCTTCTCTCTAGCTAGCTAGCTAGCTAGCTAGCTAGCTAGCTAGCTAGCTAGCTATCGATCTCTCTTTCTATTTATCTATCTCTCTGATTTTTCTATTTTTCTCTATCTATCTATCTATCGAACCGTCTATCTATCTATGCATCTATCTATTTCTCTCTGTTTATCTATCTAGTCTACTATCTATGTATCTATCGATCTGTACCTAAACAAGCGAAAGTGCCGTGCCTGCCACGAAATCTGTACTTGACCTTGTGAAAGTGTTGCGCCTGCCACGAATTTGGCGCTTGACCTTGCGAAACTGCTGCGCCTGCCACGAAATCTGTACTTGACCTTGTGAAAGTGCTGCGGCTGCCCCGAATTTGGCACTTGACCTTGCGAAAGTGCTGCGCCTGCCACGAAATCTGCACTTGACCTTGCGAAAGTGCTGCGCCTGCCAGGAATTTGGCACTTGACCTTGCGAAAGTGCTGCGCCTGCCACGAAATGTACACTTGACCTTGCGAAAGCGCTGCGCCTGCCTTGAAATCTGCACCTGACCTTTTGAAAGTGCTGCGCCTGCCACGCAATTCACTCATCTCCGAAAACGCCGATTCACGCACAGGGCCATGTTTTTTGCGACTTTCTCTTCCCCTGCCACACGCGCGCGCATTTTTCCTCGTGGGCTTATTCCTTCTCTTGTAATATGTCTGAGAGAGCTAGCTTTCAATTAGTTGCCGTAACACGGGAGTTCCTTCTAAACTTCCTTTGATTATGCAGTTATGGAGTTTGTCCTCGTAGGAAGTTTCGGCGCCTCTTGCGGAACTGAATCGTGTGTGCAGCCGATTGCAGCGGTTCACTTCTGGCACTGCGGCAATGGTACACGCAATAGGTATTGCTGCTACGAAGCGAGGTAGAGCACGCTGTCGTGGATGAACTTCTGCTGTGTTTGGGGTGCCTTTCAGCTGGCAGCCCGAAAGCTTTCATCGCTGTGTTGGCGAGATGGCCGAATGGCGCGGGTACGCAAGACGTCGCGGGTGTCTCAACCCCGTTCCCCCTGAGACACTTTTAAAGTGCTAGAGACACGGGGGAACAGGATTGAAACAATCGCTCCAGGAGACGCTTCGCCAGTTTCAAGATCTAAAACTCTATAGTTCTCAGTTTAACGTATAGCGCCTGGAAGCTTGCAGGCGTGGGGGTTGGGCACGCGTTGTCATGCAGAGCCAGGCGAGCAGAGCGGTGCAGAAACTAGGAGGGTTTCCTCAGACTGTGTTATGGTGTTGTAGGATGAAAGATGCAAGATGATCAAACACTAATTGAGCAGTATGTGTGCACTGCGGTGATCCCTGTTGCAAGATTTTCCTGGATCTGAAAGAGATGTTGAATGAATCAATGAAGTCTTACAGTACAGCGTTGTTGTACATTGTGTTTTTAGCTAGCTGGCAATGGCTGCTAGATATGCTTCGCGTCTGAATTGGGAACTTTAGCGAATGGTGGACGCGTATGGCTTTTGTTTGGTTCGGAGGCCCAGTTTTGATATAGTGAAAATTGTTTCGGACGGTCCTCATCCAGATTAAGCCATATTCATAGGTTTGGCCTGGGATGATTGCAACGTTGAAGTAAGAGCTTCTTTTATTGTGCAAAATAGTAGTTTTGATCATTTAAGCTGAATTTTTAACCTATCACCCATGTTGCACGCAGCAAAAGTATTTGTGAACATTCGACGTTCTATTTTGTTCGGACTCCAGCCAGCAAACTTTGTTTTGTTCGAAACAGAAGTGATTGTTTTTTGATCGGTATTTGCAGAAGCTAACGCCCATGCTGAAATATGCGGATTTCTTTTAACAAGTTGTTTTTCAGTTGTATATGTTGTACTTTTGTTGCACGTGCATGTAGCAATCCTTATAAGTTGTTAAAATTCCTGTTAGGTCGGTAAGTCTTTGATATTTTGCATGTAACATTTGCATAGCATGTGTTTGAACACATGCTCCAGTATTCCTTATTTGTATTTTGCATGTTTCTTTCCATGACTCGAGTCCTGAGTAAAACTTATCTTTAACAATTGGATGCTTTATACGCTGCAGATGCACTCTTATTTAATGAGTTGTTTGTCCCTGTCCTGAACCCGCGTTCCAGTTGGCTCATTTCTTTCCTTTATGAAATCCCTCCTTTATGAAATGGGCAAGCTTGCATGTTAAGCTAGACAAGCATGATGCACTCATGTCAGCAGATCATTTGCGTAGGCCTTCGTTCATGTGTAGCTGCGGCCCACGCAGCAGGAAGTTAAACAGTTAGGTCAAGAGCTTTGACGCGATTCACCACGCATTTCCCACTTGACGCGGCCCATTTGCCGCGACAGCGCGACTCAGTGCAGCGCATTGTAATTGCAGAACACTGCGCAACGCAAAGTGACTCGGCAGACCGCAACGCAATCGAACAATTCCTTGGAGGCGATGCGGAGGCGGCTTTGCCGCCCCATCTAGCTTCAAATTATTGAAGTGGATATTTGTTCACTGTTGTGGCCTGTGTCCGCGAACAATGACTAGAAACACATGGCTGCAGGCCATAAAATTGCGGCATGACCTTTCAGGGACCGCATTTGATTCCAAATAGGCAATTCTCATGTTCAAGGCGTGGTTTTCTTACCAAGAGTGAATGAGCCGTGTTTGATTGTTGCTGCAGATCCCGGATGCACACATTCTCAAAGCAACACTTACAGGTGAATTGGCAAGTTGCCAAGTCTGTTTGGCAACTTTTCAGCTTTGATCTAGCCGACCATTTTCCCAAACTGTTTTCCGGCTCCCAGCACCAAGCCTGTTGACTCTCGCCAGAAGTGTGATTTGGAATTCATTGCGTGCCTCGCAGCTGGTTGCTCGCCTCAAGCCTGGTAGCTTTCGCCCGCGGTTCAGGAGAGGCTTCCATTGCACATGGGCCACCGGTCTGAAAAGACAAATAACCCCCTGGTTGATTGATAGGGGGTGTCCCCTTTTAGTGGGGATTCATCACTTTTGGAGGGAACACCCAATACTGGGACCGGTTTATACATCCTGGGTGAACATTACTTTTGATTGCCATCACTCTTGTTTCGTCTGGGGCTCATTGTCTGGGTTACTTGAAAAAAGCCCACAATTTGGTCATGTTTGTGGACAATTGGGGTGGGCCAGTTTCTGTGATACAATCGATTTCCTTTTAACCTGATCGCGTAGTCCTGCGAACCCTCTTGGCAGCACGCCATGAAATTTGGGAATGAGTGCGAAGCAAGTTGACCAATTGACTCATAAGCAGCGCATGTTGACCTTTTGAATTGATAAAGGGCCGCACACGTATGGCTTCCAGGGCCGACTTGAATCTTCAATCGCCTATGAGGTAGTCGTGTTGCACAAGGGGCAGAATGTCTCATTGGTGTTGTGAGTCAGATGTGGCCCGTCCTCGGACACTTGTGCTTGTTGCCCTGACTTTTTCCCAAGGAGTTGCACAAAAGCCTCGTAGTTTTACGACAGCTGGTTGAGCATCCTATCTCCTCCGCGGCCATCAAAAGGGTGCAACAGCGGACACCATCTGCCAGGTGGTTGACTGTAAACGGAAGTTCACTTTGAGACAACCCAAACATGGGAAGTGGGAACCAGGTTTTTTGAGAGAGACTCTTCCATTGTTTTTTCCCAAGAGTTGAGTTGCCTCCATTGACAGGAGCTCGATCTGCAATGTACGGAGGCGGGGAATCATCTGGACAAAAGGCGTGTGTCTGCTTCTTAGACCCCTGGCGCTTTTCCTTTTGGTTTCCTTCAAAACCACTAAACATGGGGTTCCTTTCAAAAAAGACGGATCCACTTGACTCGGAACTTGCTGCTACCAAGAACCGAATCAGGAGTTCAACATGTAAATTCGTTTTTTGGTCGTATTTCGGACCAATCCCAACCTGCGGCTTCCAAAAACACACCGCCGATCCGTCAGAGCGGATCTGTGGCAGGTGCCGCTGCCTACGGGTACCCCCCCGCTCCCCTGCCACATCTTCTTCCGAGCGCCTGGGCGTGAGTCAAGACCAAGGGCTCAGCGGGGGACATGTCAAGGCGAGCTCTCCCCAAACATGGCGTGATTCCTTTACGTTTCTCTTTGAAACACTGAAGGGGTTTCAGAAACCACCAAATGGAAACACGAGCAAGTTTGTTCTGGTGGCTTGGAAGGACTGGCAGAGACGGAAGGTGACTCTGGGGGTCAAGACGACACTATGCGGGGTTCCCGGATGTGGATCGAAAACAATCGGTTCTTCATCAGTAAAAATCGATAGCACAGATTTGTTTGCGTGATTCCGGCAACGGCAGTTGCTTGGGGGCTCAATGGAGTTGCTTGCGGTTCACATTGCCGGCCAGTTGATTTACAACAGCCGGCTGGAGGTGCGCTGGGCGACACGGGCAAGCGGTTGAGCAAGGCCGGGGCTCGCGGGCGGATTTGCAACGTGTTCGGTCACTTGTGGCACCACCAACTGCACGCTATAGTGGCACCACCAACTGCACGCTATACTTCTTTACCGCGCCATGCCGTTCTATGCGATGCTACGTCATGTCATGTTCGCACTCGGAGGACACCGCAGTGGAGGCCCATGCCATGCCAAACAAGGCCGGGGCTTACCTCGGCGCATTTCGGCCGGTCTCGGCGCTAAATGCGGTGTGAGAATCCACGGGCCAACGTATATGCCCCACACATATGCGCTTTGATCAGCGCAAGGCCCGCGAGAGCTTCGTGCTGGAGGCCGGAGGGCGCTTGGGTATTCCTTGTAGGTTTTCACGTTTTCAAGCGTCAGCTCTGGTTTCATGGTAAAGAAGCATGACGTCGCCAACAGGACCTTTGTTGCGACACAGCTGCATCACTAGATCACTCAGCCGTATCCAATCAGTCAATCTGACAGCAGCGATTTCATTGTTGAAAGAAATGCGATCGACGAACTGTGCTTGTGGCATCCATTGGGATTTTGGGGTGAGAGGCTCGCGGCACTTGTCCACCAGCCTTGCGAATCACGTTCTTGCAAGCTGGTGTCTTTGGATCTCGCTGTGGAAGTTTCTGGACCTCACGTAGTGTGTTGGGAAACTCGTTGTTTCCAAGACAGATGGGAGTGGCGGATTTGGTTGCATCATGCTTTCTTAAGGGACATGAACTTGGAGATAGGGTGTCGCTCTGAGGCCCCGACGCCCTCGGGCACTGCGGCGCGCCGCGGTGTGGCGTGCAGCAGGGCGCCGAAGCCGCCGAAGACGCGGCGGCTTTCGCCTGCGACCTGGCAAGAAACTGGCCTGCGGGAAAAACTAGGCCTTGGCCACACAGAATGCGCGCGAGCGTATGATCAAAGGAAGTTTCGAAGGAGCTTAGAGAAGAAAGAAGAGAGAAGACAGAGTAAAGAAGGAAGAACAAAGAATAAAACAAAGAAGGAAGACAGAATGCGGAGAAAAGAAGAAGTAAGAAGTAACAAAGAGCCAAGAGGAAAGGGGAAGCCGAAACAAACTCGAAAAAAGAAGGACAGAAGAGAAGGCAGAAAAATAAAGAAGACATAACAATGAAGAACGAAGAATGAGAAGGCCATAAGGAAACAGAAGCCTAAAGTAGCAATGGCAGAAGCAACAAGACTGCAGAAAGAGCAAAGAATCACTAAGAAAGACAAAAGAGGCAGACGTTCAGGAGACACGAAAAAGACAAACACAGAAAGACATACTCAAGAAGAAATCATCATGCAGAAGGAACGATGTGGGTTGGCTTCAAGGGGAACGCCCCTGCGCTTGCGTGCAAGCTTTTTGGGCATTGTCGGATCACACAAAAGCAGGAAGCTTGAGCGTTCTTCGCCAACATGTTCGGCCATTGTGGGTTGGCCCAGAGGGGAAACAGCTTGAGCGTGTTTTTTTTGCGGGTTCACCCACGGGAGATCACTTGAACACGTTTATAGCATTTTGGCCATCGTTGGCTGATGTCAAGAGAAAGCGCCTGCGAGTGTTTCTGAACATGTCGGCCAGGGATTGAGTGCTAACATTTGGACATCCGGGGTGTGCTGTTTGTCTGCTGGTCAGGATGCTGGGTGCGCATATGGTGCTGTGGTGGTGGTGGTGATGGTGGTGGTGGTGGTGGTTGACAGCGATGCCTGCATGGCTGCAACATGTGGAGTGCTACTCAAACGGCTGTGGGCGAGTTACATTGTGCAAGTGCAAGTTGGCCTGCGCAAGTGAATCTGGGCAAGAGGCTTCGTGCAGACAGCTCTGTTCAAGTAGCTCTGTGCAAGTTGCTCGGCGAGAAACTGTCCCAGTTTTCCGCGCGGAAGGGCTCTTTGTGATGTGCTTGGGACAAGCGCAAAACGCAAAGCACAAGAGCAAACAAACAACCAGGCAAGCGAACAAGCAAAAATACAACCCCAACAATCCTCAGACACTCTTTCTAGAAGTAGCCTGCCACTGTGTCCAAGAGTTCTGGGAGACGTTTTTTTGGGTGTTTTTTCCGGTTTTCTGCGGTGTTTGTTGCACGGCAGGACTGATCCAATGGACTTGTGCTACGCAACGGACATCCTACTTCAACATATATAATATAACATACATTGTTTTTTGAGTTGAGCTCCGCTTGTGAAAATTGTGTTTTAACATGAATATTGCGTAAAGAATTCCCGTTGGAAAGGCAATCCTGTGTACGGCTTAGTTCGACATGGGGTCCAATGGAAGTTGGCAGGGAATTCCATGTAAGTTCCAAGTTTGCGACGGACTTTGCATCGGGTTTGTGAGTCCTATTTACTTAGAACCTATTCAAATTCTAATTGAGGTGACCGTTTTGGGATACTTGAAACCTTGGCTTATTCTATTTACTTAATAGGCTTTTCAATTTATACTTTGCTCCTCACTGAGTTTTTCTAGAACTTGCTAGGGCCAGGTTCCAATCCTAATTTCCATGTTGAACTAGACTATACACGACAATTGCTTTTGCCAAGCTGACCTTCTTTTTTGATCTACTTCCTAACTTGGGCCATGATGTCCAGAGTCCAGCTTGGTGCCCTCCCTCTTCACTGCTGACGGCATTCTGCTCGTCGCGAACACGTGCGGTGAATGGCCCTGTCCCTGCCACCACCGTCCGCATAGTTCCCGGCATGATGCCGAAATTGTAGTTGGGGTCCATCAGCGGAGACCCGCCCCTCTGACAATCCGGGAGGCCGCCTTTTTCCACACGCCGTGCCCGCTTCTGACCTTTTTGACAACGGCCACCCATAGCTTCTTCACCCCCATGTTCGCCCCTTGCAGCCAGTCCATTCCTGCCCTCGGGCGCAGCAGACCGTCCAGCATGTTTTGGTCGTCGCTCCTCTTCACGGTTGATCACCACTGAGTTTGCCTTGGTCGACCCCGTTCAAGTCACGGGCCGGCTCAGCCACCAGTGCTGGCCAAAGACGGCCTTGTCCGCCACCTCCACACAGCCCGCAGGCTGTGAGGTCACGATCAGCTTGTTGGGTTCTTTGATGCCATAGGCAAAGTCTTCCTTGCGGGCTCCTCATAACCTGCCACGACTTTTTTTGATCTGAAAAGGGTGCGTATGTCACGCCCCATGTGCAACGGGAGGGTGCCGATCAACAGTTTGCGTCAAATTACACGCCGCGCAGGATCTCCATTCCAACGTGTAAACACAAACTAGAATTCTTCTTCACGAATTCCTACTTAATATCTTCACCAACTTCAACTCAATTTCTGACAGAGTCGGGGTTTAAAAAGGACACTTAATCATTCTTTGCTGACACGTGGATATTGTAAAGATGTCTTCTATTTCAAGTAAAACATAGTCAGGATTTTTTCCCAGCAAATTTTCTTTGCGTACAATTAACACCAAGGCGCAGTTTCCTTCAACAAGGGCTCCGCACAAGCAAGGCGAGCGCAAACAGCAAATTCTCACTTGCGTGCGCAAGCAGATCAAAATAAAGCGAAGTGCGTTGCCAGCCTGCCCTTCAGTTAAATGGGAAGCACTTGACCTTGTTGCTTGAGGGTTTTTGGTTCGCCCGGTTCAAGGAACCAGTTGCTCGGCTAAGGAGCGGCGCGAGTGGGAGGCGCAGAGTGCGCCGTGGGCGGCTGACCGCTCGCCGGAGGAGCGCGCAGACACGTCTGGGCGTCTCCTCCGGCGGGCGGAGGTGGCCTTTCTGGCGGCCCACCTCGGCCAGACCGAGGCGCTGCGGGTGCTGCAGCGGCGACTCGCCGCTCAGCGCCAGCGTGCGGCCGCGGCCTTTTTGTAAGGCCTGGCAGCGCACTGTGCGTTGCTGGTTTTCGAGCGTGTTGGGAAGGTTGTTGGTCACCAGTCCACCTTTTGCGTGCCGCGGAATCCTTACGACCTTACGAAAGCGTGCCACGAATCCGTACCTGATCTTGAGAGAGCGCTGCGCCTGCCGCAAAATCTTTCCCTGGCCTTGCAAAAATTCCACGCTTGCCTCAGCAGCATCAGCGCCAGACCTACGGGCGAGCGACGCAGTCTGCCATTTTGTGCCCAAATTTGTTCGTTGCTGGGTTGAAAACGGATTGTTCATACTGCCCAGAGAGTGTCAAACAAATAGGTTAAGTTGGTCCTGCAAGTTTTGGTCTCCTTATGGACACTGCTGGGAAGGACTTAAAGGAAGCCCTTGGGTTGTGCTAAATCCTTTTTTTGTCCGCTTGTTATTAGAGGATTGGAGCCCCTTGTGAAGCTTCCCCGATTTGTGAGGAAACAACCAGTGCAGGTTTGTGTATCTCAGTAGCAACCTCCAAAAAGCACAGTTTTTTGCTACCATACCAAGGGTGGAAAGAACTCCGCAAAATTAGAAGCTCGGAGGGGCCACTGACAAGGACGGGCGCGTCCAACAGTCGTTGAACCTGTTTGGTTTCGGGGGCGCGATGAAGGTCCGGCTCCCCAACCTGAATTCACACTTTTCAATTTTGGGGAATTTGGGCAGGTCGTCTTCGTGGTAAGCAGTGTGGATTGATTCTGACTAATCCACTCAGGAAGTGAGTTTTCATCCTTCTGCGCAAGGCAGAAGCTGCAGGCTATGGATCGCGGCAGGAGGCGAGACGGCGCTGTCGAGCTTGTTTACAAGTAAAAATGTTTTCAATCGTAATTCTTCCTTGATCTTCAGTTGAAGTCGGCCCGGAACATCTGAATTTTTTGGAACGTGGCCGGAGCAAAGACATTTTGCGCGCGAGGACGGAAAGCCACTGACTTGTCTCCAGGTGAGCTTCGCACGGCGCAGAGAAATCTTGTGCAGAGAATGCGTTTGCAGAGAAGGCTTGTGCAGAGAAAGCTTGCGCAGAGAATGCTTGTGCAGAGAATGCTTGTGCAGAGAATGCGTTTGCAGAGAAGGCTTGTGCAGAGAAAGCTTGCGCAGAGAATGCTTGTGCAGAATGAGAGAATGCTTGTGCAGAGCTTGTGCAGATGCGTTTGCAGAGAAGGCTTGTGCAGAGAAAGCTTGCGCAGAGAATGCTTGTGCAGAGAATGCGTTTGCAGAGAAGGCTTGTGCAGAGAAAGCTTGCGCAGAGAATGCTTGTGCAGAGAATGCTTGTGCAGAGGATGCGTTTGCAGAGAAGGCTTGCAGAGAATGCTTGTGCAGAGAATGCTTGTGCAGAGAATGCGTTTGCAGAGAAGGCTTGTGCAGAGAAAGCTTGCGCAGAGAATGCTTGCAGAGAATGCAGAGAATGCTTGTGCAGAGGGTGCAGAGAATTTGCAGAGAATGCTTGTGCAGAGAATTGCTTTGCAGAGAATGCTTGTGCAGAGAAAGCTTGTGCAGAGAAAGAATGCTGTGCAGAGAATGCAGCTTGTGCAGAGAAAGCTTGCGCAGAGAATGCTTGTGCAGAGAATGCTTGTGCAGAGAATGCTTGCGCAGAGAAGGCTTGTGCAGAGAAAGCTTGCGCAGAGAATGCTTGTGCAGAGAATGCTTGTGCAGAGAATGCGTTTGCAGAGAAGGCTTGTGCAGAGAAAGCTTGCGCAGAGAATGCTTGTGCAGAGAATGCGAGAGCTTGTGCAGAGAATGCAGAGAATTGCAGAGAAGGCTTGCAGAGAGAGAATGCTTGTGCAGAGAATGCTTGTGCAGAGAATGCTTGCGCAGAGAATGCTTGTGCAGAGAATGCTTGTGCAGAGAATTTTGCAGAGAAGCTTGTGCAGAGAATGCTTGTGCAGAGAAAGAGAAAGCTTGCGCAGAGAATGCTTGTGCAGAGAATGCTTGTGCAGAGAATGCGTTTGCAGAGAAGGCTTGTGCAGAGAAAGCTTGCGCAGAGAATGCTTGTGCAGAGAATGCTTGTGCAGAGAATGCGTTTGCAGAGAAAGCTTGCGCAGAGAATGCTTGTGCAGAGAATGCTTGTGCAGAGAATGCGTTTGCAGAGAAAAGCAGAGAAGGCTTGTTGCAGAGAAAGCTTGCAGAGAAAGCTTGCGCAGAGAATGCTTGTGCAGAGAATGCTTGTGCAGAGAATGCGTTTGCAGAGAAGGCTTGTGCAGAGAAAGCTTGCGCAGAGAATGCTTGTGCAGAGAATGCTTGTGCAGAGAATGCGTTTGCAGAGAAGGCTTGTGCAGAGAAAGCTTGCGCAGAGAATGCTTGTGCAGAGAAAGCTTGTGCAGAGAATGCGTTTGCAGAGAAAGCTTGTGGAGAGACTGCTGGTGCAGAGAAAGCTTGCGCAGAGAATGCTTGCGCAGAGAAAGCTTGCGCAGAGAAAGCTTGTGCAGAGAAAGCTTGCGCAGAGAATGCTTGTGCAGAGAATGCTTGTGCAGAGAATGCGTTTGCAGAGAAAACCTGTGCAGAGAAAGCTTTCGCAAAGAAAGTTATTGTAGAGAAACATGCGAAATGCATGATGCATTTTGGTTATGCATTCATTTCGCTCGCGTCTCTGGAGTGCATCCGAACGCAATATGCATGCAAAATGAGACGCAGTTGTCCCGCGAAGCGCAATGGTGTTTGTTTTTAGGTGCTGGCACGGGCCCCGGCACCGGCACCGGCCCCGGTACCGGCCCCGGCCTGGCACCGGCGCCGGCGCGGACAACAGCGCCGGCCTCGGTGCCGTGGCTTGCGTGTAGAGAGTTGAAATTGCAGTCATGTTTTAAATGTTTGATCTGCTCAACATTATTGCTACTGTTCAACAGACTTGCTCAATGTATCCAGGTGAGTTGCTTGGGGTAAGGGAGGATGTCTCTTGAGATATTGGCAAGCAACAAATTGTTTCAAAAATGAGGCCGACGAACACCCCCAGGGTTTCCATCACGATTGTTGAACTCAATGCTTTGGAAATAGACAAGTCGTTGACAGCCAATGAGGGATGCCCACAAGTCATGACCTTGCCCACAAGTCATGACCCCAAGATAAACTGGGCTTGAGGCAGTGAGTCTCCAACCCAAGGAAAGCCCTTGAGTACTTGAGGCGGGAAATGGGTAAACCTTAGTGATATTCGCTTCTTCTTCGTCTCCTCCTTCTTCTTTTGGTTTTGTCAAACTCCTTGCACTCAGCTCAAACAGCAATCTCAGAAGATCTGTGCAGCCGGCACCCGCAATGATGAGCAGCAGCAGCAGCAGCAGCAGCAGCAGCAGCAGCAGCAGCAGCAGCAGCAGCAGCAGCAGCAGCAGCAGCAGCAGCAGCAGCAGCAGCAGCAGGTTTTTTGCTTCCTCTGGCTCGTTGAGAATGGTGACCTGTGGGTAACATGATTTATTCACATGAAAGCTTCCAGGCAATCTATGCACAGCATTGACGGGGCCCTGACGTGATCCGCGAACTTATTTGTGAAAGATGCGAGTCATGGTGGTAGAAGGTGCCCCGGTGCAGCTCCCAACGCTGAGGAGTATGATGACATGTGTTTGTTTCCTGGGCTGGACAAAAAACGCACAAGCGTGACCACTCGACCCGGAGAGACCGGCCGAAAGTTGTAGCCTGAGGAGATCTTCGCCTTTTTCAAGCTCTGAACGTCAGAGCCAAGAACCGAGCCCGGTTCTATTTGTCGGCTGGCCAGCACGGTGGACAAGTGCGAGGCCGGAAGGCATGGGATTTCGATTGTGAGCCGTGTCATGTTCGCGCAGGTGTCCAATGCCACTCTCTACTGCGGCTTCGAATACCTTGGGAACCGTGACAGCGAGAGGCATGCTGACTCCCAGCGCACGACACTTACGCATACGCCGGCCCACTGGTGATCACGCCGACAGATGCTAGCGAACGCGGAGCTGGCTTGTTTTGTCAACATGAGCCACAATCAAAACCCGGGTGGATGAAGGTTAGTAAGGGGCAGTCCCAGCCGGAAATAGTTGCGGCCGCCTTTCTAAGTCTTTACATGGTTGTGGGTTCACCATTTTTGTACCAGGTTTTGATTGTGACTCACACGAGCATGTGATGTCACCTGCGCTTTGAACGACACCGAAGCCTGAAGCCTGTTGAAACGGATTCGGCATGGATGCATTTCGCAGGCTGGGTGCCTTTCATGTTTATGGCGGTCCAGAAGGGCCAGCTGGTGGGAGACCGAATCCACCAAGGACCAAGCAAGAGATTCAATTTGAGTCAGGCGAAGGTGTGAGTTCAAACTCCAGGATCTCGCCAAAGCTGTTGCCGTGCAGTGTGTGGTGGACGACTTAGCGGCCTTGAGGGATCGTGATGTGGGCGCACAGCATTGGCAGCTCAGGTGTTGCATTTTTGTCAGGGGCAGGATGAAGGGTGGATTGACACTTCCGTGTTTTTTTTTTCAGCTGGGTTGCAACTGGAAAAGCTGATCGATGGAGAATGTTGGCAATGTCCAAAGGTCCAGGCGGCTTAGCAAGTTCACTGCAGGTCTTCAACCGCTCAGACGGCCTGGATTACATCTGGATTACTTTGCGCGGGACATAGTCCGGGAAAAGGGAGTTGCATGTTTGTGCGGCACATCCGCATGCAGATTAGATGGCAGATCAGATGTGTTGTGCCGCTCCGTTTGCATTGGACATGTCCCTCAGAGCCCAGAAAGTCCGGCTGGCACCGGCTTGCAAGCGTCAGAGGCCATGGGCAAGTTCATCAAGGGCATTGCATCTTCTGGTGCATGGTGCTTTGACGAGTTCAACCGCACCAACTTGGAGGCCCGTTGCTGCTTTGCGTGCACTGCAACAATGAACAAAACCGGTTTTCATGGAATGAGCTGTTTCCTGAGCGACTGCCTGCGGCCAGGTGCTGTCAGTGGTGTCACAGCAGGCGGGACGCCAGCATCTCCACTGTTTTTCTCTGGGAAGGACAGATGTTGGAAGGGTTCTGATTTGGGCCGGACGTGCTAGCAAGACTATCCTTGCAATTTGCAAGTGCAAACCATCCAATTTGCGATTCGAGACAAGAATGAAATGTTCTATTTCGAGGACAGGCAGATCAGGCCACCCCAGTTCGGTGTGGCTGTTGGTACAGATCAGGGGGCCCGATCAGCACTTGTCGTTGAACTGTCTGAGGAATGATGCTTGTGCTCTCCTGCGCTGTGAGCATCATGAATCCAGGCGGCTAGAGCTTGTGGGATCTGCAAGAATCGAGACATGTCTTTCCTCTGAACCGCCACAAGTAAGATCAAGTAAGATTTGCACGAGGCCAAAGGGCCAAACTAGGCTTTCCAGGTGGAAGTGCCCGTGCTGCAGGCTATGCTGGCCGGTCCGAGCTGGACTACCTGAAGGCTTGACGTTTTGGTTCAGGGTAGCCAACCCCTATCTTTCTTGAGAATGGGCATTGATGTGCAGGCCTTCTGCCGTCCTTGTGCAATGATGATTTGCACCCCATCGAAATGCAGAGTGGGAGAAAGGGAGAGAGGAAGACAGGAAGAGAGGAAGAGAGCGCGAGAGCGTGAGAGAGTGAGAGAGTGAGAGCGTGAGAGAGTCACAGAGAGGAGGAGAGCGGGAGAGGGTGGGTTAGAGTTGCCACAGTGCGTTTGGCGGGTAAGTGTAGCAACTGCAGGTCCCCGATAATGCCCTTATTGGCGATTTTGTCCTCTACTCCAATTGCTGCTTGCCAGATGATGACACTTGCTGCTTGCTCATCGGACAGCACTTTGCATTGCGTATTGGACGAGCATAGGCTTCGAGGATGCCAAGAACCTGGCCCGGAAGGCACGAATCTGCGAAGAACATATCCCTCCCATATCTTCATTTGGATCAAAAGCCAATGTCTTGGAGGGTCTGAGGGGATGCCTCTCCAGGCTGTGGGGAGCCTTCGTCTCAGCTTTCCTCACAGAGCGAGCACAAGCAGCGTGCTCGACACGGGCTTGTGGGTTTCATGGAGAAGCCGGTGCATTGAGATGTCCCCCATTGCTGCAGTGTCAGTGGAGCAAGTCAGGTTGCGAAAAATCTTGGCTCAGGTGAATCTGCCAAAGTTCACTCGGAATGGCATACCGCTGTTCTTGGGTATCACTGGCGATGTATTTCCCCGAGGCGTGGCGGGCTACTTTTAGGTGCCTCGTGGCAGGAGAGATGGCTCTTGCTGAGTTCACCTGTGGCAAATGCATGAAGCGTAAGCAGCACCGAAAGAATTTCTTGAGCAGAAAGTGCGTGAACAGGTCGAGCTGCGTCGCCAGACTACGGCGTCTTGAGCAATGAGCTCGAGGCCGTTGCGAGCTCTCAAGCAATGCCGACAGCAAGACACGGGCATTTGGGCGGGCGATCCGCAAGCAGGTGAGAGTTTGGGGCTGTTTGTTGCTGATGTTAGCATGTTGGGGTGCACCGTTAAAACGGAGAGTCCAGAGTACTTGCAGGCCTCGCACAATTTTGATACACCTGACTCACACTGTTGAAGCGATGAAACATTGTGCTTGCCTGGGTCTAGCACGAAATCGGGTAAGGAGACGCGGGTCCAGTTGGCTAGCATTCAACCGTCACAAACAGCCGCACGAAAGATCTTTATCTCAAGACATGGCTGGCAAGACATGGTTCATCAGTTGAGGGCTCATCCACATGTAGCAATCACCAATAGGCGTTTTTCTGCTTGAGCTGGAGTCCGCTTGCTCTCTCACAGAGACTACATCAAATCTTTTTCAGCAGCTGCTCGACCAGGATGGAGAAGCTGATCGCTTCTGCTGACGTGAGGGACATTTAGATTGAGGACTTCTGAGTGCGGCCTGTGCAGCTGCTGGCAAGTCAAGTTGAGTTCTTCAGGAGTCGGAAACAAAGACGCGGGAGAAATTCGATCAGCCCGGCACCTCAAAGCTGTTTCACGTCATGTTTCAACGTCATGTCACTCAACATGAGCCATGCGATCGGACAAGTAAATACGAAGCTCCAAGCGCTGCAGGAAATTCTTCTGGAACTTGCAGAAAACAAGTCCTGGGCAGGGGACGCTACATTACATTACATTACATTACATTACATTACATTACATTACATTACATTACATTACATTACATTACATTACATTACATTACATTACATTACATTACATTACATTACATTACATTACATTACATTACATTACATACATTACATTACATTACATTACATTACATTACATTACATTACATTACATTACATTACATTACATTACATTACATTACATTACATTACATTACATTACATTACATTACATTACATTACACATTACATTACATTACATTACATTACATACATACATACATACATACATACATACATACATACATACATACATACATACATACATACATACATACATACATACATACATACATACATTACATACATACATACATACATACATACATACATACATACATACATACATACATACATACATACATACATACATACATACATACATACATACATACATACATACATACATACATACATACATACATACATACATACATACATACATACATACATACATACATACATACATACATACATACATACATACATACATACATACATACATACATACATACATACATACATACATACATACATACATACATACATACATACATACATACATACATACATACATACATACATACATACATACATACATACATACATACATACATACATACATACATACATACATACATACATACATACATACATACATACATACATACATACATACATACATACATACATACATACATACATACATACATACATACATACATACATACATACATACATACATACATACATACATACATACATACATACATACATACATACATACATACATACATACATACATACATACATACATACATACATACATACATACATACATACATACATACATTACATACATACATACATACACATACATGACATTACATTACATTACATTACATTACATTACATTACATTACATTACATTGCATTACATTACATTACATTACATTACATTACATACATACATTACATACTTACATACTTGCATACTTACATACTTACATACTTACATACTTACATACTTACATACTTCTACATACTTCTACATACATGCATGCATACATACATAAATACATACATACATACTGTAGATATGATAGCACAACATCACAGCATTCATAGATACTTACATGCATACACATGCATTACATTGCAGTACATTGCATTGCATTGCATTCCATTGCAGTACGTTACATGAAATACATACGTACAGCATGCATGATGCATGAAATACTGCATGAACCACCGCAACACGCGGCATGCATACTGCATACATACTACACATGCCGCCTGCGTACGGTATACATACTGCACACATACTGCATGCAACTGCATATATACTGCATTCATACTGCATACATGCGTAGCACAGCTCAAAATGCATTCAAGTTGGTTTGCGGTCCTTTGCTTGCTTAGCCTTCTTCGCAGCAAGCCCATTTGGCGACAGCCTGATTGTGTCATGATCCGCTGGTCTTGCAACAAGTGCCCGGGCCTCTTCGTCTTCTTCTTTGGGTCCTGAAAAGAAGGGCTCAGTCCATGCACTTCGCAATGTGCCACAGGCCTTAGAGGTGGGAGGATGCAAATTTGCCATAGCCATCACTGCCTGCTTGGCGGCAGACTTTTCCTCAGACCAGAACAATTTGCCACAGCAGGCCCACACGGAATGCTTGCCCTGTGAAGCAATGCTGTAGTTTTGGTGCCAAGCGGCCGCTTCTTTCTGCTTCACGCATAGCTGCCCCGCATATTCTTGGCCCTGCATGACAGGCACTGGCATTATGCAGGGAGTTAGGCACAGCCGACCTGAATGCAATCCAGCTTCACAATGCTTTGGTACCTTAGGCACGCTGGCGCTAGCCACTCCCGGCCATCCACTCGCAGCGGCTCAGCCGAGTTGCTGATTGCCAAACTTTCTCGTCCTGTACGAGATATCCTTAACCACATCGGTGACATTAACATGAGGGCCATGCGATCAAAGAAGTGTTATGTCGACCCAGCGGCCGCTTGCGTCATTGGCCGCTGGCAATAGCGTTGGGAAAAAATATTCAACTCCTGGGCAGGGCAATGATAGGCAAACTGCCCGACGTGTACGCCACTCTTGCATTCAAGGAACCGTCTTGGGATCGGTTGCAGCTTGCAAAGGCACGACCATGGCCCTGAAAACGTCCGCAAGTCGCGTTGGCTAGCAAGTGCGAGAAGCTAGAGCCAAACGACGGCCGCAGTCTGATGGTGGGGGGGAAGCGAGCAACTGGCGGCAAAGGAATGACTCCTAGCAAGGGGGCCAGAATATTGAAGAAATACTGTCGCGCAGTACTCGCCAATGTGTTGTCACGCGTCCCTTTATTCCGCGGTGTTCCTGGCAGCACTGGACCCTCTCGTTGAATCAGTGCTTCATCCTATGCCATGACCAACGCTCACAATGTCTCTCCTTTTCCGCGCGGAGGCGGGCGTGAGTTCTCGAGCTGCATTCTTTGCAAGGTCTGATGAGCTGGACACAAAACTTGCAAAGACACACAGCTCCGGAGTCAGTCCTTCTCCAATGGTCCTTGGCAATGCGACTGGAGTGGGTTCTATTCCCAATGCTTCCTGCCAAGTACCAGTTATTTCTTTCCAGAGTCACCAACACACTCGTGTACCCTTGTTGTGAGGCCCCCACGTTGATGCCTCCGTGATGCTGAAAGCAAAAGAGTTCTGTGGTTCAGGATTGAATGCAACGCAACAAACAGAATATTGAAGAATCAGGAATACTATCAGAATACTGGTGGCATCTAGCAATATCTAGCGACGTAAGGGTCAAGTGCGGGACGCCCAAGCCAGACTGCTCTAGGCTAAGCTGTTTCAGAGTCATGGGTCTCCCATGCAAACACAATGGCGATGTGCGCACCACCCTCAGCACTTGCATATGGCACGTACCTCCATCTTCCCCGTGCCTCCAACTTTCCTATGATCCAGGGTACTTTTGTCGGCGGTGTCGCTGCAGCGTGATGTGGTCCACCACTGACATCTGGGTGGATGCATCATAATTAATGTATGTATGTATGTATGTATGTATGTATGTATGTAATGTAATGTAATGTAATGTAATGTAATGTAATGTAAATGTAATGTAAATGTAATGTAAATGTAATGCAAATGTAATGCAAATGTAATGTAATGTAATGTAATGTAATGTAATGTAATGTAATGTAATGTAATGTAATGTAATGTTAATGTAATGTAAATGTAATGTAAATGTAATGTAAATGTAATGTAAATGTAATGTAAATGTAATGTAAATGTAATGTAAATGTAATGTAATGTAATGTAATGTAATGTAATGTAATGTAATGTAATGTAATGTAATGTAATGTAATGTAATGTAATGTAATGTAATGTAATGTAATGTAATGTAATGTAATGTAATGTAATGTAATGTAATGTAATGTCATCATGTCATGTCATGTCATGTCATGTCATGTCATGTCATGTCATGTCATGTATGTCTGTCTGTCTGTCTGTGTATGTATGTATGTATGTATGTATGTATGTATGTATGTATGTATGTATGTATGTATGTATGTATGTATGTATGTATGTATGTATGTATGTATGTATGGTATGTATGGTATGTATGGTATGTATGGTATGTATGTATGTATGTATGTATGTATGTATGTATGTATGTATGTATGTATGTATGTATGTATGTATGTATGTATGTATGTATGTATGTATGTATGTATGTATGTATGTATGTATGTATGTATGTATGTATGTATGTATGTATGTATGTATGTATGTATGTATGTATGTATGTATGTATGTATGTATGTATGTATGTATGTATGTATGTATGTATGTATGTATGTATGTATGTATGTATGTATGTATGTATGTATGTATGTATGTATGTATGTATGTATGTATGTATGTATGTATGTATGTATGTATGTATGTATGTATGTATGTATGTATGTATGTATGTATGTATGTATGTATGTAATGTATGTATGTATGTATGTATGTATGTATGTATGTATGTATGTATGTATGTATGTATGTATGTATGTATGTATGTATGTATGTATGTATGTATGTATGTATGTATGTATGTATGTATGTATGTATGTATGTATGTATGTATGTATGTATGTATGTATGTATGTATGTATGTATGTATGTATGTATGTATGTATGTATGTATGTATGTATGTATGTATGTATGTATGTATGTATGTATGTATGTATGTATGTATGTATGTATGTATGTATGTATGTATGTATGTATGTATGTATGTATGTATGTATGTATGTATGTATGTATGTATGTATGTATGTATGTATGTATGTATGTATGTATGTATGTATGTATGTATGTATGTATGTATGTATGTATGTATGTATGTATGTATGTATGTATGTATGTATGTATGTATGTATGTATGTATGTATGTATGTATGTATGTATGTATGTATGTATGTATGTATGTATGTATGTATGTATGTATGTATGTATGTATGTATGTATGTATGTATGTATGTATGTATGTATGTATGTATGTATGTATGTATGTATGTATGTATGTATGTATGTATGTATGTATGTATGTATGTATGTATGTATGTATGTATGTATGTATGTATGTATGTATGTATGTATGTATGTATGTATGTATGTATGTATGTATGTATGTATGTATGTATGTATGTATGTATGTATGTATGTATGTATGTATGTATGTATGTATGTATGTATGTATGTATGTATGTATGTATGTATGTATGTATGTATGTATGTATGTATGTATGTATGTATGTATGTATGTATGTATGTATGTATGTATGTATGTATGTATGTATGTATGTATGTATGTATGTATGTATGTATGTATGTATGTATGTATGTAATGTATGTAATGTATGTAATGTATGTAATGTATGTAATGTATGCAATGTATGCAATGTATGCAATGTATGTATGTAATGTAAGGTAATGTAATGTAATGTAACGTAATGTAATGTAATGAAATATAACGTAACGTAACATATTGTAATGCAGTGTAATGTATGTACGTATGTACGTATGTACGTATGTACGTATGTACGTATGTACGTATGTACGTATGTACGTATGTACGTATGTACGTATGTATGTATGTATGCATTTATATGTATGTGTTAAAGTGGAACTAACTGTGTAAACACCTGATGGCCTAAATGTCTCAAACCTGTGATGTGTCAGCGCGGCACTTGTTGTCACTGCGGGCGAGGGCTGTAGGCTCTATCATGTAGATAGGCTCAAGGCCTTGATGTACAAAGGCCAGGGTCATGTACAAGGATGGATGTACATTAACACCCCTCCTCAAATTGTGCTATCTTAGCACACTTTGCCAAAATGTACAAGTGTCCTTGTGGATCAGGATGATGTAAGAAACCACTGCATGTAAACTGATAGCCAGAAAGCAGATGTAGCTGTACATCGCTGTCCCTTGCTGTCGGACTAACTGTACCACGAATTACGGTGTGCCATTGTGGCAAGATGTACATGATGCTGTTGCTCTGTAGTACTCGATCGCCGTTAATCTGATCTTTGCATATGTTGTGATGTTTCCTGCTGGAAGTTGTAGATGTTGCTGTAGTGGTCCTTTCGTCTCATTGAGCAGTATTGCAATCTTGACTGCGTCTGGTAGTAGTGTGCGGTTGTCTTGTTCGTACTTGGAGAGTTGAAACTTTTATGTTGTGAAGCTCTCTTCGAACCTCTGTTCATCAAGTTGTGGTTTGAGTAACCTTGTTAGGTACCCAATGCTTCATGTACCAAGTGGTCTGGAGTATCTTGCATGTACCAGCCGCCATGTTTCAAATCCGTTGCCTTGCATGTTTTGCTTGCAGATTGTAATCGCACGTGCTCACCAAGAGGTAGTGTAAATTGCTGCTCAGTTGAACCCATTGCTCTGCCACTGCTTGTGAAGGTGCTGCGTTCCAAGTTGGTCGTTTGTAACTTGTAATCCCAAGTATGCTGTCATTTTGTACTTCCATTCTTCGAAGGTGTTGTATTCTCCTGTGAACCGTGGTGGTGATATCTTGTATCTGTGGATTCCTTCGTTGTGCCATGTTGCTCACTACTGTGTACCTGAACCTGTGGGTGTGTGATGGAGCTCACCCTGGGTTGTGGTCGAGGATCGTGTGCCAGGGATCACTGCTCCGCTGCCATGTTTGGAGTGGAACTGACTGTGTAAACACCTGATGGCCTAAATGTGTCAAACATGTGATGTGTCAGCGCGGCGCTTGTTGTCACTGCGGGCGAGGGCTGTAGGCTCTATCATGTGGACAGGCTCAAGGCCTTGATGCGCAAAGGCCAGGGTCATGTGCAAGGATGGATGAACATTAACAGTATGTATGCACGCATGTACGTATGTGTGCATGTATATATGTAATGCATGTATGTAATGCATGTATGTAATGTGATGTAATGTATTGTACTGTAATGTAACGTAATGTAATGTAATGTAATGCAATGCATGTATGTATGTATGCATGTTTGTTATGTAATGTATGTATGCACGCATGCATGTATGTATGTATGCATGCATGTATGTATGTATGTACTGTATGTAATGTATGTATGTATGTATGTATATGTATGTATGTATGTATGTATGTATGTATGTATGCGATGTATGTGTGGTATGTATGTATGTATGTATGTATGTATGTATGTATGTACGTATGTACTGTATGTATGTAATGCATGTATGCAGTGTAATGTATGTATGTATGTATGTATGGATGGATGGATGGATGTATATATGTGATCTGATGTGATGTGATGAAATGTAATGTAATGTAGTGTGATGCGATGTAATGCAATGTAATGTATGTATGTATGCATGTATATGTATGTATGTAATGTAATGTAATGTAATGTAAGGTAATGTAATGTACTGTAATGTATGTAATGTTCTGTAATGTAATGTAATGGAAAGGAATGGAATGTAATGTATGTATGTATGTATCAATAATATGTATTTATGTATGTAATGTAACGCAATGTAATGCAATGCAATGTAGTGTATGTATGTATGTATGCATGCATGTATGTATGTATGCATGTATGCGATGTATGTAATGTATGCAGTGTATGTAATGTATGTAATGTATGTATGTGTGTCATGTATGTATGTTCGCATGCATGCATGTATGTGTTGCAATGTACTGTACTGTCAATGTGTGCAATGTAATGTAGTGTACTGTAACGTAATGTATGTAATGTAATGTAATGTGGGTAATGTACTGTAATGTAATTTAATGCAATGTACTATACCGTAATGTAGTGTAATTCAATGTAGTGTAATGTACAGAATTTGTATTCATGTTTGTATGCATGTAATCTAAAGTAATGTAGTGTAATGTAATGCAATGCAATGTAATGCAAACCAATGCAACGCAATGCAATGCAATGCAATGTAATGCAATGTAATGTGTGTATGTTACGTATGTGTGTCATGTACTGTACTGTAATGTACTGTAATGTGCTGTACTGTAATGTAATGTCGTGTGTGTGTATGTGTGGCTAGATGCAATGTATGTTCAATGTAATGGAATGTAATGTGTATAGTGAATGTAATGTATTGATTCATGTAATTGGTTTTGTTATGTCATGTTATGTACCGATAGGTGATGTATGTATGTACGTATGTAAGGACATGTAGTGTACTGCAACGCAATACACAGCGATGTAGTGTACCGTAATGTAACGTAATGAAATGTATGTAATGTATGTAATGTATGTAATGCATGTAATGCATGTAATGTATGTAATGTATGTAATGTTTGTAATGTTTGTAATGTTGGTAATGTGTGAGAATGCAATGCAATGTAAAGTAACGCAATGCAATGCCAAGGGAAAGGTAAAGGCCAATGTAATGTAATGTAGTAATGTCAGGTATGTTGGTATGTGGTGTGGTGTGACGTGATGTAGTGTAGTGTAATGTGATGTAGTTTGATGTTTGTAATGTATGTATATGTGTGTTGTCATGTCAAAGTACTGTGCTGCCGTGTAATGTAATGTCCACGCAATGTCATGCATGAGATGTATGTAACGCATGTAATGTATGTGCTGTGTGCAATGTATGTGCTGTATGGAGTGCATGTGATGTAGCGTATGTAATGTGTGTAATGAATCTACAAATGCGTGCATGTGTGTTTCTAATGTAGTGTAAATGTAATGCAAAGGTAATTTAAGTGAACATGTAATGTATCCTGAGGGTGCCCATCAGCTCTCACTTGTATGTATGTAATGTATGTATGAATGTATGTATGTGTGTCATGCATGTCTGCATTGTAATGTACTGACATGTAGTGTAGCATCATGCAGCGCAATGCAATGTAGCGCAACGCAATGTAAGTTAACACGTGTGTGTAACGTATGTGGTGTGTGTAACACACGTAATGTGTGTAATGTATGCAGCGTATGTAATGTACGCACACAAGAACGCAGGAATGAGTTGTATGGAATGTATGTATGTAACGTAATGTAACCTCATGTGCTGTAATGTTTGTATGTGTGCAACATAAGTTGAAGAATCACGACCCCCTGAGGCACCCCAAAACGCTCATTGCCTGAGGCCTCTTGAGTGGGTTAGTGAAGGCTCCGGTTTCTGGTTCGCTTGGATATTTTCCCTTTTGAGTGGTGGAGCCTGGGTCCTTCAACGTTCTCCTTGGTCGGGAGAAGGAACCCTCCTTGTTGCAGGATGCAAGGAGGGCCGACCACGAGGGCCTCCTTAAAACAACTCCTTACAAGGCTCATTGTAAGGCTCGGCGCTTCAAAGCTTCTAATAAGGCTCTGTACAAAGCTCCGTGACGGGCCAGCTCATAAAGATCCTTATGAAACTCTGGCCAAACGGCATTCCTATCCAAATATGACAAAAAGGTGTGATGAATCAGGCAGGGTTTAATGGGGAAGGTGTCTAATGAATTGCTTTTTGCAGTTGTGGTTTGAGCATGATTTTTTCCACATTCTTTCTCGCAAGAAATCAAATGGACATTGAGTCTTGATAAGCAGGATGCATTTATGTCGGGCTTGCAGATGCGACAGACACGGACGGAGCTGATTTGTTCGGCTTGCAGATGTGACACAGTGTGACAGACAATTGGTTTGTGCCCGCAGATGGTAAAGATTAGCGCAACTGGCGCAGACCAAGGTAAATCATGCGGGGGGGGGGGTGGTGGAGGAGCATATTTACATATAAATACATATGTTGCATGTATGTATGTGTTTGTGTGGAGGTTGTGTGGAGTATGTGTGTAGCACGTGCAGTATATGCATGCAGCATGCATGCAGTATATGTGTGCAGTATGTGTTAAGTTTGTCCAGTTTGTGTGCTGTCTGTGCGCAGTCTTTGTGTGCAGTCTTTGTGCGCAGTACGCGCACAGTAGGTGGGCAGTCTGTTTTGCAGTACGTCGCAGTACGTGGTGCGTGTGCAGTACGTGTGCAGCACGTGCCCAGTGCGGGCCCAGTACGTGCGCAGTACGTGTGCAGTGTGTGTGTGTGTGTGTGTGTGTTGTATGTGTTATGCGTGCAGCATGCGTGCGGCAGATGCGCGCTTGGTATGGAGTATGCATGTCGTTATGTATGCAGTGCTTCATGCAGTATTTCCTGCAGTATGCATGCAGTGTGCAATGAGTATTCATGAAGTATGCATGCAGTATGCATGCAGTATGCATCAAATATGCATGCGGTATGCATGCAGTGTGCGTGCGGAATGCTCGAGTATGCATGCAATCTGTATGCATTATGATTCAATGTTTGCAGTGTGTTTGCAGTGAAGTCATGGGACATCAGTGAAACAGATATGGTCAGATTTATGCCCCCATGGTCCAACAGGATCCTGAGGTGGTGGCAGAAGCAAGGAAGTCACAAGGGGCAGGGTCGCTTGGCACAAACATGTTTGCTCTGGCTTCCCACATTTGCTGTTGCACTGGCATGCCTAGAGCTGAATGCATTTTCCCAAGGAAGGGCAAAAAGGGCTGCGGCTTTATGTGGACCGGATGGGATTGGACTTGGCGGCTTGCCAGCGAAAACAGCGATCCCATTTGCAAAACGATTCAGATTGAAGCTGCGTGGCGCTGGTTGGCGCCAAGGTGGAGCGCTCCATCTGGGCCCTATTTGCCACGTGAGAGGGTCACCGCGGAGCCAGTGGTGGGTGAGGTGGTGGAGTGGAAGGACCGGATTCGCAAGTTGTGCGTTGCAGTAACAGCACAGCGACCCTTCCAGGCATGTGGCATGAGCTGGAATAAGGGTGGGATCGCAACGGCTGGCAGGACTCTTTTGGCTGGGCAAAGGCGGATGCTCCCATTGACCACCATTGCTTCAAGCAAAGAGGCGGCAGGATCTACGTCCACAAGAAGGCCCAGACATGGACGCAGTTTTTCCATGGCTTTCAGAAGCGCAAATGCAAAGAATTGGTGCGTGTCACCTGCGTCGGCCAACAACTCAAGACCCCCAGGGATGGAGAGCCAAATGCAATTTTGGGTGTGATATTGAGCGCGAGGATGTCACGAGTGGAGCCATCACAACGGGATGTCGAGTGAGGTTCCATGTGTACAAGGAGCTTGCAGCCCGCACAAAAGGCAACTGCACGCAAATGCCCCACAGGTGTTGGCTGCGTTGTTTCCTTTGCTTCGCACTTGCTATTTGCAGGACACTCAAGGACTTGGCGCTGCAGAAGTGCAGGCCAGTGACCTTTCCAACGGAAGTACAGGGAGCTCTTTCATGCGTAATCATCTCCTTCCCATTACCTGCGAAGCACAATTGAGGGAGGGGTCACATCTCGGCGCACGTGACTGAAAGCAATCAAGGCGCGCAAGCCCAAACTATTTCCAGTTTTTTGGTATTTCCAGAAACATGGCACAGGCAACAAGATGTTCAGAAGCCATCATTGGTGTTTTGCTGCATTTGTTGGGCGCTGCAAACCTTCCTGCGAAGCAACATGGAACACAGGAGCTACGACCAAGTCGAACCTACCCTCGAACCCAAACATTGACACTAAGCTGGGAAAGAGGACACAATGAATGCCAAAGGCGAGTTACTCTTTTTTTCCCTTTCTACCCACAGTTTTCCATGGCATATCCTTTATCACCTCTTCTTTCTTGATCAGATACAAAAGATTCTTAGGAGTTGCGTATCTCCAATAAACAATTCTGAATGATTGGACCCAGCCTATGGGGAATGGAGAATGAAGGTAGCGCTGTCCCCAAGAATCAGAAAGGGCCTTCATACCTGTACCCAAGAAATCTCTGAGCTTTTGGAGTCCTCAAGTAGGAAAGGAGGAAGATATGAAAAAGTTAACATTCCATAGAAATATTTATTATAATTAATCCTTAATACAAGTACAATGGAAACAGATAGTCCTTACACAGCATATCGTCCCTTGTTGTTTTTGCTTTTTTGCGTGAAATGGTTCTTGAGGAGTACGGACACCATAGTATGGTTCCTGCTGACGGGGTGGGTGTGTCACCTTACCTTGCCAGGGCAAGGAGTTGGGGATGAGCTTTCACGCTCACCGGGGCGCCCCACTGCATGTGGGAGCGAATTCAAATTCCTGCCCTTTCCCGTTGCCTTGTTCCCTTCCGTTTGTTGCTACCTTCACATGCTTTCGTTCTCTTCCCGGCTGAGTGGGGCATGTGCCATATTGCCGTGCCCAGGGTCCTTTTGGGCTGAGGCTTCAGTCTTTTAGAGGCATTGGTCGCTTCAATGCAGTTGGAGTGAATCTGAACTCCTTTCCCTTCTCGCAACCCCCTAACTCCACCTAGTTCTAGCTGCATGGCTGCAGTGTCCATTCCATCCCCTATGAGACAAGCCATGGGAGGGAAGCGGACAGCGTATTTTCCAGGCAGCAGGGTGGCTAGAGGGCGGGAACCGCCGTATTCGTGGCACCAAACGAAACGACGTCGGTTCCTGCAATACTTTGGAGCCCCTCGAACACTGCTCTGATGTGCAGACAACGGGTCAGCTCCTCGTGCTGCCACCCAATTTTCCGCAGGTGTACCCTCGCAAAGACTTGTCACATCTTGCGGAATCATGATCACTCTGAGCGGAAAAGGTGTCACTGCTTACGGAAGTGAAACTGTCACTGCTTACGGAAGTGAAGCAGCCACTACACGCGGAAAAGTATAGGGGTAGGAAGCTCCTTCCTTTCTAAGGCTCCTTTCTAAGGCTCCTTTCTAAGGCTCCTTTCTAAGGCTCCTTTCTAAGGCTCCTTTCTAAGGCTCCTTTCCAGATCGAAAAGCGGATCCCCAAGACAACCTTCATCACGGCCCCCTTTCAGGAGATTGGCTGGGGATCCGCTTTTCGAGCTGGAATGCCGGATTCCAGCTCGAAAAGCGGATCCCCAAGACAACCTTCATCACGGCCCCCTTTTCAGGAGGGATTGGCCGGGGATCCGCTTTTCGAGCTGGAATGCCGGATTCCAGCTCGAAAAGCGGATCCCCAAGACAACCTTCATCACGGCCCCCTTTCAGGAGGGATTGGCCGGGGATCCGCTTTTCGAGCTGGAATGCCGGATTCCAGCTCGAAAAGCGGATCCCCAAGACAACCTTCATCACGGCCCCCTTTTCAGGAGGGATTGGCCGGGGATCCGCTTTTCGAGCTGGAATGCCGGATTCCAGCTCGAAAAGCGGATCCCCAAGACAACCTTCATCACGGCCCCCTTTCAGGAGGGATTGGCCGGGGATCCGCTTTTCGAGCTGGAATGCCGGATTCCAGCTCGAAAAGCGGATCCCCAAGACAACCTTCATCACGGCCCCCTTTCAGGAGGGATTGGCCGGGGATCCGCTTTTCGAGCTGGAATGCCGGATTCCAGCTCGAAAAGCGGATCCCCAAGACAACCTTCATCACGGCCCCCTTTCAGGAGGGATTGGCCGGGGATCCGCTTTTCGAGCTGGAATGCCGGATTCCAGCTCGAAAAGCGGATCCCCAAGACAACCTTCATCACGGCCCCCTTTCAGGAGGGATTGGCTGGGGATCCGCTTTTCGAGCTGGAATGCCGGATTCCAGCTCGAAAAGCGGATCCCCAAGACAACCTTCATCACGGCCCCCTTTTCAGGAGGGATTGGCTGGGGATCCGCTTTTCGAGCTGGAATGCCGGATTCCAGCTCGAAAAGCGGATCCCCAAGACAACCTTCATCACGGCCCCCTTTTCAGGAGGGATTGGCCGGGGATCCGCTTTTCGAGCTGGAATGCCGGATTCCAGCTCGAAAAGCGGATCCCCAAGACAACCTTCATCACGGCCCCCTTTCAGGAGGGGTCCGCTTTTTTCCGCAGAGACTGTGCTTTGTTTTTCCGCATATTTGGTTGTTTTTTTCCGCTCTGCGGGGTTCGCACGTTTTCCGCGCGCAGCGCCAAGCCTCACCCTCGCATTGACTCTCGGACCAGTACCCCACAGGGTGCCGTGGAGGCCGGAGAAACAGTCTCCGGTTTTCCCGCGTCACAAGCGTCCGGCAGGAGCCTTCGGTCATCATGGAAAACGCGAAGTTGCCCACCTGCGGTTTCGGCCGGGAACCCGGAGCAACAGTTGGCGCAGTTTTTGTCGCCTCCCCCATGTCTTGTGTGTGTGTGTGTGTGTCAAAATGGGGATTTGGACCCTCTAATGTTCATCTTCCTTTGAACCAACCTAAAGCCCTCAACAAGTCACAAGGCCACTTACGCGTGTGACGTTGCCAGCTTGGGATTGATTCGGTTGAAAGGACGGCCCCTGGAGTTTGATTTATAGTTTTCTTGCTTGTGAGCAGGGAAGAGTGGACAAATGGGCTTGGGGATTTCCCCACTCAGGGCTACTTGGGCCGTTGTTGAGCCTGTCCGCCGTGGGCCTAGCAGCTCACAATACGTAGTGGTCAAAGACTCACTGGCAAAGGGGTTGTGCAGGAAGTTGGTCTAGGACCCCATCTTTTTTGGGTTCCATGTTCTTCTTTCATGGGAGCCTCCTCTTCTCTGTCCATGGCATTGGGGAAGCGAGAAGATGGCAAGTGCAGTAGGACGGTGCCGTTCAAGGGCAGATCTTGGAGGCGAACAAGAAGAAGGCCGCCAGTTTGGACGATGCAGGTCACTCCATTATTGCCATCCAGACATTTGGGGATCGTGCAGGTCTGCGGTACTAGCAACATCGACAACAGGCATGCGTCTCAGAGGGGGTTGGAAATGCATATTGACTGGCAGTGGCTTGAGCTGAAAGCGCCAGCTCCGCATGTCTGCGCTGTTTTCCTGGTATTCAGGCAACAGTGAGCCACGCATGGGGTCCGAAAACAATAGTGTCGGCCACAAGGGGTTGCGACATCGAGAACACGGGCGACACCTCGAAGCTGATCTCGGACGACCTCATGGGCCTCAACCCCAGGATGCGTTGCAAGGAAAACGAGTGAAGGTTTCAGGAAATGCAAAAAAGCGTGGCTTGGGAGTCTCTCACTCAAAAGGTCGCGCCTTCAACGCCTCTGGCAAGCCCATCGACAAGGGGCGCGCAGGGTTTCTAGGTCAGAGAGGGAAGAGAGTTCAAGAATGCTTTTCAGCACACAGCTTCCTTGCACTTGCCCGTGCTCGCAGTTTCAGCAAATAAGATCGGCGCAGCACAGTTGAAGCACCTTTGTTGGTCAGGCCCACTCTGTTGGCACGTGGCTTCTTGGGCATCAACAGCGCGACGTTGAACCCCAAGCGGCTTGGCAAAAGAGTTGCAAGCACCCATGTACTTCGGCCGGTTGACGGACAAATCCGCTTATTTTCTTGCGAGCTCACCGATGTGCGGGTAAGACAAGCTCACCACGAGGTAGGTCCTTTCCTTCTCGATCTCTTGTTTCAGGTTTCGAGACTTTCCAGGAAAAATGCTCGCACGTGTTTGTGTGCCTGAAGTCCAAGCACTTGCGCGAACCCCAAAGAGATGGTCCAGCCTTGCGCTCGGATTCGAACAGAGTACTCCTTTACTGCCGTTTGCTTGGAAATGTCTTGTTGGGTGTAAGGGAACCTAGTACTGGACATACTCTTTTTCCAAGGACAAGCAAATGGGGGTTTACAGATCGTGGATGGCATGTCTTGGTCACCACACCGTTGCTTGGGCGTTGGAGGAGTGGTCACGGAATTTAGGCAACCATGACAGAAAGTCCTCTGGGGATCATGACCATGGACCATGTGAGGAGTCCTCCATGCAGGCCAACCAAATCTGTTCCAGATCGGTGGTTGTATATTTCTTTGAAACTTTTTTTTGTTCCAACGAATCGTGTGCCCTAGGACGGGCGTTGCCATCGACGCCATGAACTCAGTGGTGCCAGGAGGTCGGCCTGCGCCATCAAAACTCAAGCGAATATTCATAAGGGGCAGTGAAGTCTGGTGACGAACTCACTGGCAAACGCAGTGAAGAGCTTGTGGTTCACGCGCAGGCCATGAAGTGGGCAATTCTGGAAATCCCTCTGTTACAACCAGGCTCCCGCCTGCTGCCGCCGACCCTCGGCGCATTCAGGGAACAGTCACAAGGACCGGTCCTGAAACACGTCCGCAAACCCAGGCTGGGACGGGAGGCAGAGGGTCGGCGGATTTGTTCTGGCGATTTCTTTGGCGATTGAGGTATTTTGTAAGGATACACGTAAGTGTTTTTTCTAGGGCGTTGCGCGGCTTTCGGCGGGCGTTGTGTGGCTACTTGCGCACGGCTCTTTACTGCTGAGGTGCTTGCGTTGCGCACGAAGGCAAAAGCAGAGTTTGCCAGAAAAAAAAACGGATTAGCATGTCATGGCTTGCGCGGAGGCATGCTTAACAAGTCTACCCCTTGCCTACTATGCTAACTTCTCAGCCAGAAATGCCCGAAACTTGGGTTTCTGGGACCCCAGGTCGTTTCAACACACAGCTTGACTCGAAAATTCCAGGAGGAAAAGCTTTGGCCTCTGCCTGTTACGCGTGCCTTCTTGGAATAGTCTCGGCTGCCATCTGTTTCGTGGAAACGCACAAAGGCAGTGACACTTCGGTTTTGACCCCCCAAGATTTTTTTTTCAAGCATTTAGTTAGAAGAGCAAGCTGGCTGAACCACAGTGGTCCATCCTTCTCTGCTATAGCCTTGTTGGACAACACGTGTGCCCAAAAACTGGATTCCGGAAGCCGTCGCTTTGCTTGGGTTGTTGAGTGGGTTGTTGAGTGGGTTGTTGCAAACATTTACTCGGTAACGCCTCAATGGCTTGATCTTGCCATTCATGAATGCCGTAACTACGCTAACACTTACAATTTTGCGCCAGCAGGAATTTGTGGAGAAGCTTCAAGTTGACTGGAAAGAACATGGTGGATCATTCACATGCCAGTTGCTCAAACCACCTGCGCAGCCGCCTCTGGACATAGTCACTTTTGCAGAAGATTGTGCGGCCACGCGCCTTCGTACCGTTGCCAAAGGCCAGCGCAGACTCAAATTGCATGCAGATCTTGACTTTGTGCCTGGAGATGAAATTGTAGTTTCCGGCCATCGCTGTGAAGTGCAAACCGTTCAGGGCCCGCATCATCCAAGTTGATCATCTTGGGGATGGAGCATTCGCGCGCGGCAACAGCTTGAAGGAAAGAAAGCGGCCCGTCTGACGGGTTTAGGGCCCTGATTTGGGCCGGCGATTGCGAGGTGCGGTTCCGGCGATTTTTTGCGCGTGAGCTTTGGAGCCTTGGCCTAGGATACCTCCGTCTTGTTTCTGTGTGAGACCAAAGGCGAGCTTGTTTTCACATCGATCCCGCAGCTGACAGGCCAAGCCTCCCTGGGAAGGAGCCCAACATTTGAAGGTGTTGCTGGATGCGCCCAACTTGTGGATTTTGCGGCTTTGTGTTTTGCGGATTTTCGGGAGCTACTCGATGGTTTGCAATAGGTTTCACCTCGTGCTTAGCCTCACAAGAGCAGGCGAAGCGGCGGCCTCCCGCTCCGCTGGTTCGCCCGAGCGTCGGGCAGCCTTGGACTGGGTAGCGCTCGGGCCCCGGATGCGAGAGGTGATCAGCAGCGTTAGAACCGTCCTTGCCGGTTGCAAGGAAGCGCTGGGCCACCAGATTCAGGAACGGATGGCGCAGGCGGTTCTTTGACGTATCCCAAACATATTCAACTTGGTCTTCACGCCTTGAAGAGCACTGTGCTCGTTGCAGTCGAGCGAGCTCGAGCTATTATCAGAAAACTATGGAACATGTCCATGTAATTAGAAACTTGATGTCCAGGTCCCGCAGATGGACATCATTCCTGTTTTGGGTTGGGGCATGTTGGGGCTCAGGTGAGAGCAACCAACTCCGGCCGCTGGCTGCCCAGAGGATGCCACGCACCATCTCCAGATATGACTTGCGGACTTGCTGGGAAAACACAGGGAGCCCTATTGTTGGGGGCTATTGCCAGATTTGGGGTGCAACCGAGCTGCACGTTTTTGGGCGCTTCTCCACAAAAAAAAGAAAAACGTGCTCTGCCCTGTGGGTTTCCCTTAAAAGCAACCCTCGAAATCCTGATCGGGGCCGGACGTCCAAACGAAAATGTGGGAATAAGAAAACGCCAGCCGCTTTGGATTATATTTTGAAAGCCAATGACAGTTCTGGAAGCATGCTGTGAAAGTGATGCTTGAACCAGTCTGTCTCGAATGGAGCCTTCAGCATCCGCGTTGCTGTCCGCAGAATGGCAGTGGTTTGTTTTCGAATAACCCACCCCCCACCAACTCAAAAACGCAGACCGTGCAGGACCGCGCAGCGTGTCCTGCTGGCGCCCTCGTCGTTGAGGCCGGCTTCCGTAGGTCTTCCGGAGCTCTTCGATCCGAAAGTCAACACGAGCGAAAGCCATCGGTTAAACAACTTATGGGGGTATGTGTCACAAACAAAATGGGGACCCGACAAGGTAGGTTTTTTTTTGGTTGTCCTTTGAAACAACCACCAAAAGGGTCCCCTCAAGACGGTCCTTCTTTAGGATTGTTTGGAAGGGAAACCAAGAGGAACCCCCTTGCCGTTTTAGGCCCCTCAAATTGGGGGAAACACGTAGGCTCTTTACTTGGAAATCCGCTTCTCATTTCGGGCTGTGGCATGCTTATTCTTGTTGAATTTGTGGATTGCATGTTGATGAACAATTGGCATAGAGCCTCATATTGGGTATGTACAATCCTCTGGCAAGAAGGCAGCCCACGCATGTGACTTTTGAGCGAATGCTGAAAGGAAAGCCATTTAGCTGCGTCACGTGGGCCTACCGGTCAAAGCACCCCTGGCTAGCCATGCTTATGGTTGCGGGGAGCTTGGGACCATGACATAGATGTCTTGGGCGTGCCACCTTTGCAAACGGCCCACGTGGCGTGTACGGAGAAAGGCCCTGCCCTCACTGCCGCGTGGCAAAACGGGGGGGGAATCAGGGTTGGGCGGAAGGCTGCTTGCCATCAGCCCAATATGTTTGGCGGGTACAGAGACGCATGTCAGAAAATGCCTGTGATTTGAGCAAACCATTCTGATGCAGCGAAAGTGTGTTGGTTTTTCGGGGCAAGGCCCATGAATCCTTTCACTTCCCAAGGAGCCATCATTCGTGAGTGGCTTCCAAGATTAGCCTTCTCAAGAAACTAGCATGGTTGGACAAGCTCACTATGAACAAGCTTCATATTCCAGCGCCGGCATTTCTCGAACAGGTTGATCCACGCACGACCAACCAGCTTCAGCAGTCAGACTGTGACCCTATGAACCAGCTCGTACAGCCATGCTCTGTGTTAAAAGTGTGCGCCAAAGTCGCAGGCGGGCGAAGCAAGCGCCCGTCGCGAGCACGCAACTGCGAAACCGCGCGTGGGAACGGCATGAAGCTGTGGATGTATTTGGAAAGCAAACTCCAAGGATGTGATGACAGACTTCTTGAAGGCATAAAATCTATATCACCATGTGCAGCAAGAGACATGCATTTTTTTCAAACCCAACAAGGAGCTGGCTCGCGTTCGCAAGCTGCTTTTGTCTCCCAGGCCCCCTGACGCTGTTGGCCTCTACCGCTGCTTGGCCCTTCCAATAATTACATCTATATAAACGCAGATTTCTTTTCAAGGTTACCCGTTTTGGGGTTGACATCACATTTCTCAATAATCCGCGCTGTTGCATAACACCGTCCAAAAATGGGTCCCATTTCTGGAAGCACCCAAAGCCAGGAACAAACATTCAAATGGTTGTCGGTGTCGGACCAAAAAATGATTGGGACGTGGGTACGGGTGGCACGGTCTCAACCCCCCCCCCCTCAAAAAAAAAAGAGATTGAATGCTTCAATCCCTGAAGCCAGCCCAGCCACCCACCCACCCACCCACCAACCCACCCACCCACCCACCAACCAACCCACTCACCCACCAACCAACCAACCGACCCACCAACCAACCAACCAACCAACCAACCCACCAACCCACCCACCCACCCCCACCCACCAACCCACTCACCCACCAACCAACCAACCCACTCCAACCAACCAACCCACCCACCAACCCACCCACACACCCCCACCAACCGACCCACCCACCCACCCCACGCACCCACCCACCAACCAACCAACCCACCCACCCATCAACCAACCCACCCACCCACCCACCAACCCACCCACCCACCCACCAACCCACCCACCCACCCACCCACCAACCAACCCACCAACCAACCCACCCACCCACCCACCAACCCACCCACACCCACCCACCCACCCACCCACCCACCCACCAACCAACCAACCAACCAACCAACCAACCAACCAACCAACCACAACCAACCAACCAACCAGCCAGCCAGCCAGCCAGCCAGCCAGCCAGCCAGCCAGCCACCCACCCACCCACCCACCCACCCACCCACCCAACCCAACCCACCCCCACCCCACCCAACCTCACCCCACACCCACCCCACCCCACCCCACCCCACCCCACCCCACCCCACCCCACCCCACCCCACCCCACCCCGCCCCGCCCCACCCCACCCCACCCCACCCCACCCCACCCCACCCCCCCACCCCACCCCACCCCACCACCCCACCTACCACCCACCCCACCTACCACCCCACCCCGCCTAGCATCTGAAGGGTCGATGGAGAACCTTGTCCTTCCTAAAGCAACTGTGTAGACACTAAGGCCAGATGCCTCCTGATTAACAATGCGACCGGCGACGATATGACCAAAACTCTTTGCCTGAAGCACATGTCGCAGCGCGTCCAGCCCCGAGCAAGAGCGGTGACAAACAACCAACCAACCAACCAACCAACCAACAACCCACCCACCCACCAACCCACCCACCCACCCACCAACCAACCAACCCACCCACCCTTCAACCCTCGTTTCTAAAGCAAGGAGAACTCAACGCTGGCATAGCCAGCGCACGTGATAAGGCTCGCCAACGAGGGGGCACCTGCCTGAAAGCACTGGAGAAACTTGATAACCGCGAATAAACCAAGTTGGTGCTATTATGTACGGAAGGGGAGATTTGCAGACATGCTTAGCTCGTCCCCACGCACTAAAACTGAAGGACTTCTTAGTACCTACAATGCTCGGGCCCGAGCAAAGGATGCGTTGGATGCGTTGCCCGGCGCCGATCCAACTTTTGAGCCAAATCGCGGCTGGTGCGCGAGTGTGCTGCACTGGGTTCCGAGTGAGAAAGCAAAAGGAACTCGAGAAGGATGCAATTGACGCCGGTTGAAAAGTGCGCGATCCGGCGCGCAGCGCCTCTCAGGCTCGGCGCTTGGAGCCGGAGTATTGGCAGCGGGCTGCCACGCAGCGCGAGAAGGCCGGGTGTTGAGTTGAAGGCTGATAGCAACAACAACAACACCAACCTGCGGAACCCAACTACAACCGAATGGCCCCAGAGTAACAAGAAGCAGTTTGGACGCCGTTGTGGAAAGGATGCCAGTTGTGTCGGTTGCCAAACAAGAGAAACAACATAGCGTGAGGACAGAGTGCCTCCACCACACGACGCTCCGCCGCCTCCAGTCGGGCGCCTGGTCACCAGTGTTGAGCGACGGAGGGGCAACGGGTGTCAAATGGCCCCAAAATAGCCAAATCAATAATGGACACGCGCAACATAACGGGCGGGCCTGAGCTAGTGCCTGAACTAGTTGAACCCAATCTTCCAGCGGGTGTTCAACAGTAGTTGGTTGAGGCCAAAGGGAACCCTTCCAGCCGCGAAAAGAGAATCGACGCAAATCCGGATCTCCCTTATGAAGGGGAACTCACCTTAATTGGGCAAAGAGGTGCAAGTCAATGAAAAAAAGACGGGAGGAAAGCAACAGCAAAATAGAAAGAAGATAAGAAAGCGAAAGATAACCATAGTTTTATCTACCCGTCTGCCTATCATCTTTTTGTCTCTCTCCCTGCCTACCTATCTATCTATCTGTCTGTCTGTCTGTCTGTCTATGACAAATCAAGTTGTAGCCATGTAGTTTGATATGTTCTTGTTGTGCTACTATTTGTGTCATACTGAAACCTGACCTCAGCATCAACTCTATAATCAACATAAACAGCATCTTTGTGTATGTATCATTGTCATCTCGAAAGTACTGCGCCTGCCACAAAACCTAAGTACACATCTTCTTGCGAAGGTGTTGCGCCTGGCACCGCCTTCCAATGTTTTTCACTCGACCTTGCGAAAGCGCTGCGCCTGCCACGAAATCTGCACCTGACCTTACGAAGGCGCTGCGCCAGGCACGTCTGTACGTCACCATCGAAAGCGCTGCGCCTGCCGCGCAATCTACACATAGCCTTGCGAAAGTGCTGCGCCTGCCGCGAAATCTGCACCTGACCTTACGAAAGCACTGCGCCTGGCACGTCTGTACGTCACCGTCGAAAGCGCTGCGCCTGCCGCGCAATCTTTTCATAGCCTTGCGAAAGTGCTGCGCCTGCCGCGAAATCTGTACATCACCTTGCACAAGCGCCGCGCGCAGACGTCGAGAGAGAGGTGATTGACATCTGCGTGGACCCACGAAACTCAGAGAGGGCTACTCTTCTTCACAATTTCTACTCCCCCACGCGTGTTCTCGGGCGTTCACTCTCATCTTCTCTGTGCGCAAGACTACCTTAATTTCACTTAGTGTCCGCGCGACGGACGTTCTTTCACAGCTTGGCTCCGCCGCACCCGCCGCACCCGTCGCACCCTCACTCCCACACTCGCCCACCCACCCACCCGCTCACTCACTCACTCACTCTCATTCACTCTCACTCACTCACCCACTCGCTCGCTCACTCACTCACTTACTCACTCACTCACTTACGACTGCGTGGCGTGGGCAGCATTTGGTTGCTGTCTTGAAAAAACTGGATGTTGCCGGTGTACGTTTGCGGTTTACGACAGCATGTGGTAGCTGTCTCGAGGGACTGGATGCGGCTGAGGGTCCCGTTTTGCGTGGCAGGCGCGGCACTTTGGAGATGGCTTGAAAGTTTTGTGGCAGGCGCAGCGTTTCCTGCATCTAGGTGTACGTTTGCGTGGCGCGGGCAGCATTTTGGTAGCTGTCTGAAGGGGCTGGATGTTGGGGCTGGATGTTGTCGTGCGCGCGGCTCAGGGCCCCGTTTTGCGTGGCAGGCGCAGGACTCTTGAGATGGCTTGCAAATGTCATGGCAGGCGCAGAGTTTCCTGCATCTGGGTGTGCGTTTGTGTGGTGCGGGCAGCGTCTTGGTACTTGTCTAAAGGCACTGGATGTTGTCGGTGTGCGTTTGCGTGGCATGGGCAGCACTAAGGCTACACATGTGGGGTTTTGTTCGTCGTTCTTCCTTCCGTCCCTTTGTTCTTTCTTCTTCATGGTCTGTCTTTCTTCCCTATTTTGTTCCTTTTCTTTCTTTATGTTTGGTTTTTTTGGTTGCGTTCTTTCTATCCATCTTGTCTGTCAAGCTCTGGCTGTTTGCCCCTACCGATCTATCTATCTATTGATCTAGCAACCAAGTGCGTGCTGAGGCGGGCTTCGAGGCGCGCCATTTCGCCGCCACATGGCGCCGGGCGCGGGCTCGCGTGCCGCTCCCGGACAACCGGACCGCTGAGGCAGCGCTTTGATGAGGAGAAACAGGCTGGTTGCTTCTTCTGATTTGCAAGCCCTTGATTACAAAGTTGTGGTGGCAAAGAGGGGCGGGCGATCTTTCCTCTCATCAAACAGGACGCAGTTTCATGTGGCGCAAAGGAGAATGCTATTTTGAGAGAACTAATTTCCTTAAAGCTTGGACGATGTTCAGTCGAGCTTGTGGGGACCATTGGGCGCCGGCGCAATACCCTCCGCTTGGCTGAATGTGTGCCTCAAGCCAATGCACCCATATTTAATATTACTTGACTTATAGATGCATGCGGCGCCCGGCCTTGCCAGACGTGCAGGCCGGCCCCACTTGGCCTACCTGAAATTCTAATTCGATATCCGATGTTTAATTCAATTCTACTATCTGTTAACTTAAGCCGATAGGACTGAAATTGCATGCTTCTTGAGTTCCTTTTGCTTTCTCCCTCCTGTGTTTGTGGAACCCAGTGCAGCACACTCGCACATCAGCCGCGTTTTGGCTCAAAAGTTGGATCGGCGCTAGGTACTAAGAAGTCCTTCAGTTTTAATGCGTGGGGATGAGTGCAACTAGGGGCGGGTGGTGCATGTCTGCAAATCTTCCCTTCCGTACATAATAGCACCAAATTGGTTTATTCGCGGTTATCACTTCAAACAAGTTTTTCCAGTGCTTTCAGGCAGGTGCTCCCTCGTTGGCGAGCCTTATCACGTGCGCTGGCTATGCCAGCGTTGAGTTCTCCTTGCTTTAGAAACGAGGGGGGCTGGGCTGGCTTCCGGGATTGAAGTATTCAATGTTTTGGGGGGTGGGGGGGGGGCGCCCCGTACCCACGTCCCCCAGACAAATCAATTTTTGGTCCGACACCGACAACCATTTGAATGTTTGTTCCTGGCTTTGGGTGCTTCCAAAAATGGGACCCCATTTTTGGACGGTGTTTTCTAAGAAATTCATGAACCAATCTGAGAAACCTAAAATCTCAAGCTGCTTCCTTGCTCCCAAGCGAGACAACCCCGCAAAAGAAAGCTCCCGATTTTCCCATGTTCGCCTCCGTTTTGTTTTGCCCGGTACTGTGATTGCCATGTTTCAGGACTATCGGATCATGGTGCTGGCGCAGGAAGGTGTCGCAGGAAGATATCGTAGAGATGGCCTCTCCCGAAGAGTTGCGTGCAAAGGATCGGGTGGGGGGCTGGTGCAAAGATGGGGGTTCCCATATTCGCTTTCCAGCAACTGAGTGGACAGGGGGGTTGTGGAAGACTAGGGTATGTGAGGATGTCCCCTTGTAGGTGGTCAAACAAAGCAATACTTTTGGGAGTCCTTTTCTTGTTTTTTGTTTCGGCCAACTTGTTACAAGGGATGGTTCATTCCCTGCCTGTTGCACCAGCAAGTCCATTGATAATTGAGGCATGCCACCAACCCTCAGCTTTTGCTCCCTGATGATGATCCAGAAAACCGATGTCCCAATATGTGATGCTCGCAAAGCAAATGCTTGTACAATTGGTAAAGGCCCTGGCCCCATGTGATATTCTCAAGCCCAGTTGCTCGGTGATCCCCCCCATCTGTGACTTTTTCCAAGAGTTGTTCTCACAAGCTTCTTCGATTCTTTCGGTCTGTATGATTTGAAGGATTCCTTCATTTGTTTGACTCCTCAAGATGCTCATGGAACCCTGTATCTGCTGAGCCCTGTATCTGCCCCTTAGGCGCCCCTGCAGGTCTTCAGCCTCCGGCTCGGCGCTCTCCTGCAAAAACAGGCTTGGAGGGAAGGGACGGTTTTTGAGGGATGACCTGAAAGAGATGATTTGGGAAATCTGCTTTTGGATCAATTTGCAGCGCCGAGGGCCTGCTCTTTGGGCCTGAAAGGGACACTAAAATGAGTGCAACGCGCCGTATCCTTGTATTCTGGGGGGGCTTACCCTCTCAACAGAATGCTCATGATTTTTGACTTCTCAAAGTACACCCACTTTTTCACACACCTAAAGAATGTTTGACACCTCCCCAAGGCCCCAATGGAGGGCCTGACCCTCAAATGAAGGGCCCACTGATGATGCAAAAGCCCTAGTATCGCAGCAAAAGAAGTGGACACACTTTTGGTTCACTCCCGCAGACTGATACAGCTGGCCACAAAATCACTTTCGCTTTTGGGCACAGCGACCCCCTGTCTGGGTAACCGTAGGAGAGTTGCCACGAAAAGCCTGTCTTCAAAGAAAGGCTCAAGGCCCGCTTCGATGTGCGTGCTCGACGCGCGCATCATGCGCGAGGGGGCGCCAGAAAACGCGGTGCCTGGAACACCGTTTTCACGACCTGCGCCGAATAACGTATTGCCGAGGAAGAAACTCGTGAGCGCGACAGCATTGACAAAGGAACTTCAGAAAAGCGTGGCTCTCCTTGCTCACTCCAAGTGCGCCCATGCCATAATATTACTAGGTATTCCATGGCCCCCGCTGCCAGCCCGCACAAAAAACTACCCACAGAATCTCCGGCACAGCACACCAATATCAAGTTCGCGACGACAAAGCTCTTGGGCTCCTTAGTCAGGATATAATCTGTCCTTGAAAGCCCCCCCCAAGCAGAACAGACAGAAAATGACATTGGCGGGCATAAAGAATCATGAGCCACACAGCAAGGGGCGTTTGACTGCCTTGACCAGGGCCAACATCGCATGATAGTTCTCAGAACGTGATTGTTGAGTGGATGGATCTTTGAAGATGGCCGCTGTCATGTTATCCTCAAGCTCTATTTGTGGTTTATGCCATGGGGATTGGACTCTGGGCTGTTCTGATTTGTGGAGCACTCATAGGCCAGCTCTCGGTGGTGGTGCCTCTAGTGACCTTGGGCCGTGGACCATTGACCCCTGAATCCCTTGAAGCCTCAGTGGCTCGCGCTGTTTCAGAGACATTGAAATTGTGTGCGGAACTGGATTCAACCTCACCACCCCCTCCACCGTCTGATCCTTTGCCTTTGGCGTATTGGAAGGTCAGTGGCTGGGTGATTGCACTTGGGATTGGGCTGATCACCATTTGCCTGGGTTGCGCGTGTGTGCCCTGGTGTTTGATCTGGGGCCAGCGCCAGCGGAACTTGGAGGCCACAGCATCCGGGGGAGAGTCTCCAAAGTCCCCTCAGTTGGCCCTTGAGCAACTGGCCAGAAATCAGTTGGCTGAGTTGAGGGTTCGACGGCATGCTCGCCAACTGAATCGCCCTTCTGGAATATGACGTGCCTGGGCCACAGGTCATTCATGAACGGATGGTCATCGAGCATGTGGGCGGGGACGACTATGTGGTATGTAGTCCTGATAGAGACATTTTTGTGGAACAGTTGTCAGTGGAAAACCCAGACCTCAGATCATTCAGGCTGAGACCAGCCGCCAATCAGCTCCCCCCTCAAGTGAACCGAGCACAGATCTATGGGTTGCCGGCTTGGAATCCAGGGGAGGTTGCAGCCATCAATGATGAAGGAAGGCGACTGGCGCAGCAAGAGAGGGCCCAACGTGGAGGTGCCGCGGGGGGGATTGCTGCGCCGCCCGGAGGAGCCGTGGTTGTTCTGCATGTGCGTTGTAGATTCAACTGTCGAAGAATTCAACAATCGAGTTTCTTTGTGCGATGGCCGGATCAACCAAAGGAAGAAGAACGCCCTTGGCACGCCGGAGGTCGCATTGGCCGATGCAGTTTCAGCTTCGCAGCAGTTCGACATGGGATGGAAGATGGCAGGGCCCCGGACAGCTCAGTGGTGTCTCAATTATTTGGCAGTTGAAGGAGTGGGACTGGAAGCTCACCACGAGAGGTTCAGACAGTTGTGCCGTCTGGATTCAGCAGCGTGGGGACCAGGAGCATTTTCAACTGTCGATGATGGCAAGTCGACAGTATCAATGGATGCAACTCTTTGGGAGTGGAGCTCATGTTCAGGCGACTTCAGACCAGTGAGTACGCCCACTCAGAGAAGGCCAGGGAGAATGAGTCGAGGCTGTCAGGAGGCAAGTTGGCGTTGGAGGAGCAGTATGTTTTCGGATCAGTTGTCCGACATGCCGGAACCCTGATGATTGCGCCTTCGTTGCTGAGCCACGTGAAGGAGGAGACAGAGAAGGAGGTGCTGCTGGCCAAGAATCTCCGCAAGGCCAAGGAGGAAAGGGAGTTGGCCGCCAAGAAAGGCGGGAAGAAGAATGCCAAGAATGAGGAAGGCCCCTGATGAAGGGGCTGATGCTGGAGGGTGGGTCGGCTTCAGCATCGATGCCACAGACCCAATGGATTCAGTCCGATGATCGAAGTGTTCCACGAGAAGTGTTCCCTCTTCCATCGTGTAGCTCGCTGCAGGACTGCAGAAATCCATCTTCGGAGGCCAGTGTTTGCAGAACTGTTCGACGGAGGCTGGAGAGACGGCAGCACGTGAGTCAGATGGTGGAGGAGTGTGTTTGGGGGCTCAATGCATTGTACAGTGGAGAGCCGGTGCAGAAGGCTTTGTCGTCTGCGCCACCTTCAGCCTCACAGCACAGGATTCTTTTGCATGTTTTGAATTCAGTCAAGGCGTTGGGCCTCCTCCGGAGAAGCTCGCCGGCCCAGGAGCGTTAGAACAGCTCCGGGCTTTCGACGGGTACGGCGACGACCAGATGCCGTGCTCTGTTCGACCATATTCACCCCAGCTCCTGTCTTTGCCTTCGTGCGGGAACGAAAGCGTACCGCTCGAGAAATTGATGGGAGAGGAGGGTTGTACACTAGTGGACGAGTTCATTCGTACCCGTCTTCTGCCGGAGAATGAGGCTCGCAGGAATGTCAGGGCGAGTGGCTTGAGGGAAGCGTACAGTGATCCACGTCTTCGAGAGCCTGACACTTACCGGCAGTTCGTGCATAGGTTGCTGGAGTGGAAGTCGTGAAGGAGAAGTGGGCAGAGAAGATAGAGATCTTCTTTGTTGCCAAGAAGGACGGAAGGCTGAGGATGGTTTGTGACTGCAGGTTGTCGAACTGTCATTTCGCAAAACCTGACAAGGTTCGGCTATGCACTGCGGAAGCGCTGACCCGGATACAGCTGCCACCGGGGTCGACCCTGCACGTATCTACGGCAGATCTCAAAGATGCCTTCTATCACTTCCAGCTTCCAGCGGGTTTGAGGCGGTTTTTTGGCCTTCGCGGACTCAGGGCTGGAGAGTTGGGGCTGTCTGAGATAAACGGTCACGCAGTGGGTCCCAATGCGGAGGTATTTCCACGTTTGAAGGTGTTGCCCATGGGGTGGTCGCATGCCCTTTTTTGGTGTCAGCGGTTGCATCAAAGGATAGTTGCATCAATAGGGGCTGGTCCTGACAACTGTGTTGAGGACAAGGTTGCAATCCCTGATCCAACCGTAATGCACCTCGAGTATGTTGACAATTTCGTTTGCTTGGGAACAGATGGACCGGCAGTCGAAGCACTGTCATCCGCCGGTGTCACGGCTCTACGTGAGAAGGGTCTGGTTGTGCACGAAATTGACAGTGTGTCTACAGACAAGGAGCCAGTCAAGGTCTTGGGGTGGCAGTTCAGCGGGACGAAGATCCAGCCGGTGCCACTGCGAGTCTGGCGTGTCCGTTTGGGGAGACAAGAGCTCCTCAAGATTGGCAATGTTCCCGGTCGCCAACTGGAAAAGGTCGTTGGACATGCGGCTTTCATTTGTTTGGGGAGGCGGGAGGGCTTGTCAATTTTTGGGGAGACATATACCTTCATCAAGAGGCACTATCAACACCGACACCGGTTGTGGTCATCTGTCCGTCGAGAGCTTCAGATATTTTGCTGGATTTTACCTTTAATTTGGCGGGATTTATCAGCAGACTGGAGCACGGATGTCACTGCAGTTGATGCATCAAATTGGGGTTTGGGAGCTACAGTTGCGACCTTTGACCAGCAGGAAGTTAAAACCCTTGGACAGTTTTCGGAGCGCTGGAGATTTGAATCAGACAATTTTTCCAGACCTCGGGTGACGGCTTTTGGTATTGGTGTTTCAGATGACACTGACGAGGCCACAGCAGTCCAATGGGCCGCCAACGCAGAGGGCATCAGCCACAATCAGCAGGTGTCCCCCTTAGACTTTGGGCAGGGGCGGAAGGATGAAAGTTTCTTCAAGCCAGTCCCCCTCAGTGTCGTTGATCGTCATTGGCGGGTTGTTGGAAGATACAAGTGGAAACATCAAGAAGGGATGCCAGTGTTGGAAGCCAGATCCACCCTTTTTGCATTAAAGCATTCCTTGAGGAGGTCAGATAACATCAGCAAGAGGCTTTTGGTTTTATCCGACAGCATGACAGCCATATGCGCAATTGACAAGGGTAGAGGGCGCACAAGAGGTCTCAGGAGGGTTACTCAACAGATTGGCGCGCTTTTGCTTGCCAGTGGTTGTGTGTTGGGCCTCCGGTGGGTTCCTTCAGAAATGAACCCTGCAGACGGTCCTTCAAGAGGGTCCCTTTTTCCTGCTCGGCCCCACCTACCTGTTGTTCATGGTCATTCATCGGCAGATTCCAATGCCTCAGCTGGCCCCCGATCACCGGAAGAGGGAAGCAAAGAAGGTGAGGAAGAAGAAGGAAGCGCCCGGCCAGCAGCCTGCCTTGAATCTCGAGAAGCAGGCCAAAAGACAACAACAGCTGGAGCAAGTTGGCAGTCTCGCGAACGCCTCAGTGGGTCCAGTGGCTCTGAGTCGGTATCAGGCAATGCGGGAGAGGCTGCAGACGAGCGCCGGTCAAACGATCAATGCTCGAGTCTCTGCAAAGCGGATGGACCAGATGCTGTGCAATTGCCTGCACGAGATGTTTCTGGAGGGCGAAGGGTTCAGTTCAGCCCAGTACATGGTGGCAGCCGCATTGTTTTTCTGCCCCCACCTTCGGTCGCCTCGTCAGATGATGCTGCCTATGACCAAACAGTGCTTGCAGGGATGGAGAAAACTAGACCCACCTTTGTCCCGGCTGCCGCTCCCACACGAGGTCGTGTGTCTGATGGCCGAGCACTCAATCAAGAAGAGCAAGATCGAGGAAGGACTCATGATGCATTTGGCCATGGAGGCCTATCTTCGGCCGGGGGAGCTCAACAAGATCAGAGTGGGCGATGTGGTGCCGCCGGTAGCCGGCAGCAAGAAGCCGCAGTGGTCCCTGGTCCTTCACCCGACCGAGGAGGGTCAGATGTCCAAAGCTCAGGAGTTCGACGAGACCATCATCTTCGATCTAGACGAGCAGCCTGCCCTTCTGGAAGCCATTTACCGTGTCATGCGGCTGGCGTTCAGGAATCCTCAGGAGAAGGTATTCAGTGTGAAGTTCGAAGAGGTCATGCGAAGGATGGAGAGGCATGCCAGGCTCACAACATGACATGTCTGGGCCCGCCACATGCGTATCGGCTTCGACATGCAGGGGCCTCCCGGGATTTTCTGCTAAAAGCACGCAACATGGCGGACATACAGCAGCGAGGAAGATGGAAAGCGCCGTCCTCAACCCGAAGATACCAAAAAGGGGGTCGCTTGCAACAGATGCTGCATCAACTGCCCAAGGCCGCACGAGATGCGGCGTTAAGGGCAAGCCAGCGTCGCGTGGCCTTGCTCCGCAGCCTGCGCTGAGCAGGCAGCCAGGCACCTCGCCGGTCTTCATCGAGATTTTTTCTGGGTGTGGGAATTTGGCGAGAAGTGTTAGCAGACTCACCAACTGGGTGGTGCTGATTTGGGACATCACACTTGGCTCTGAATACGACCTGCGATCCATTAGCAAGCGTCGCTTGATTGGAGAGTGGGTTCGATGCGGCTGGGTGGTTGGTTTTCATCTTGGTACACCTTGCGACAGTTTCACCAGAGCACGAGATGTGCCGCCGGGACCTCCCCCTTTGCGGAGTGACACTTGCCCACTTGGTTTGAGCGGTTTAAGACCTTCTGATCAGGTGAAGGTGATTACAGGGAATTCATGGATGCGTTTTTCTGCATGGATATTGCGGCTGGCTTTGCAGTTCAATGTTTTTGCAACCATGGAGAACCCTCAACGATCACGGATATGGTTATGTCCGCCGATGTTGGCTTTGCTCAGAAGACCCTCAGTTTGCACGTATGTCACTCACTACTGTTTCTGGGGAAAGCCCTTCAAAAAGGCTACAAAGTTTTTGGCTGTCAACTTAGTGCTGAGCCGCCTGGACAATGCTTTCTGCCACGCTTCAAAGAGAGGTCTTTGTCGATTTACAGGGGCTCCTCACCTTCGGTTGTGCGGTCAAGACGAGCAAGGACAGTGGCTCACAAGAATCGCCCAGCCATATCCTGTCAAAATGTGCAACGCAATAGCAAAGTGCTTCAACGATGCAGAAGTACACCGAATAGCAGACCGATTTCAATCCAAATTGGCCTAAACCGGCTTCGCCAGAAGGCGTGGCAACTATGGGCCATCTTCCAACGGCTACAGATTGGTGACGCAAACATGGGTTGACAGTTGGATTTTGTTCGTGGCTTTGTCATGGACTTTCAGCTGACGATCTAAAGCAGTTGTCGAGTCACCTTTCTGGCCTAGCGGAAAAAGTGAGTGGAACGGTGCATGATAGTTCTCAGAACGTGATTGTTGAGTGGATGGATCTTTGAAGATGGCCGCTGTCATGTTATCCTCAAGCTCTCCACACCCAGACCCGCCCTGGAGCTCTTCGGGGTTGACAGTTGGATTTTGTTCGTGGCTTTGTCATGGACTTTCAGCTGACGATCTAAAGCAGTTGTCGAGTCACCTTTCTGGCCTAGCGGAAAAAGTGAGTGGAACGGTGCATGATTATGAATGTTGATCAAACCGTGCTATACACTCTCAGAATTGGTTGGTGGGCAAAAAATCAATACATCCACAACAAATTCATGTCCACCACAGCGTCCGCAGAACTCTCACCCATTTTTCGGTCTGTGAAACACTCCCTTCCATGGAAGAAACCCGAAAACTACTGTGGGAAAGGTAAGCACTACCAACAATGCGTGAGGTGTTTCCACACACACACACACGCTAAATGTCCACCTAATGGAACCCGTCTTAGGTTGCTCTTCGGCTTGATCTGTCAGCTCTCGTTTGTTAGGAACGTGTTGTTTTCCCACTAAGTATCAGGACGCGCGCGCAAGCGCACCAACACACTCACTTGGTTCGGATCCGTATGTCGCGTCGTCGTTGTTTAAGATCGGTATAAAGGGAGGGTTGCCTTCCAAGCATAGAGTTGGCCGGTGAACAAAAACCACGTTTACCTCCCCCACGTCCATACGTGTTACATTCAGACACGTTTTGGGACCACGCACTTCCAGGCCATTTGTACCAATCGTGAGTTTGAGTGGATCGCTTGGACAGCGTTCTCAAGAGATGCAGACACCTCCCATGACGTCAATCCCCAAAGTCAGGCCGTCCACATCCGTTCGTTTTCAATTCTACAGGTGGGCCCTGATCAACACCAGTTTCCCCTGGCTTTGCACCCTGAGCTGGACCCACCCGCCTTTTGACTCGGTCACACATCCAAGGAACAGTTAAGGATATTATATAATCTGCGACTTTGAGATGGCTCGGTGAGATTGATTCTCCCTTGACAGGTTTGCCAAAGGAACAAGTTTCATTGGGAGAATATGCTGAGGGGAGAGCAGACCAGGAGCTCATGATTAGAATCTGCGGGCCCGACTGGCAGGCGCTTGGCGGCTGCGGAAAGGTTGCCCAGGCATCACAATTTGGAGATGTTTGACGCATCTTTGTCTTTTCAAAGGCTGTTTGTGGTGGGGAATTCCGGGTTGTCCAGGCGTCACTCTTCTCGTGGTAGGGCTTTCCGGGTTTCCCAGGCGTCACACTTTGCAGATGTTTGACGCATCTTTGTCTTGTCAAAGGCTGTTTGTGGTGGGGAATTCCGGGTTTCCCAGGCGTCACACTTCTCTTTGTGGTGGGGCTTTCCGGGTTTCCCAGGCGTCACACTTTGCAGATGTTTGACGCATCTTTGTCTTGTCAAAGGCTGTTTGTGGCGGGGCATTCCCGGATTGCCCAGGCGTCACACTTCTCTTTGTGGTAGGGCTTTCCGGGTTTTTCAGTTGTCACGCTTTGCAGATGTTTGACGCATCTTTGTCTTGTCAAAGGCTGTTTGTGGTGGGGCATTCCCGGGCTTCCCAGGCATCACACTTGTCTTTGTGGTAGGGCTTTCCGGGTTTCCCAGGCGTCACACTTTGCAGATGTTTGACGCATCTTTGTCTTGTCAAAGGCTGTTTGTGGTGGGGCATTATTGGGTTTTCCAGGCGTCACACTTCTCGTGGTAGGGCTTTCCGGGTTTCCCAGGCGTCACACTTTGCAGATGTTTGACGCATCTTTGTCTTTTCAAAGGCTGTTTGTGGTGGGGAATTCCGGGTTGTCCAGGCGTCACACTTCTTGTGGTAGGGCTTTCCGGGTTTCCCAGGCGTCACACTTTGCAGATGTTTGACGCATCTTTGTCTTGTCAAAGGCTGTTTGTGGTGGGGAATTCCGGGTTTCCCAGGCGTCACACTTCTCTTTGTGGTAGGGCTTTCCGGGTTTCCCAGGCGCATCTTTGTTTTGTCAAAGGCTGTTTGTGGTGGGGCATTCCCGGGTTTCCCAGGCGTCACACTTCTCTTTGTGGTAGGGCTTTCCGGGTTTCCCAGGCGTCACACTTTGCAGATGTTTGACGCATCTTTGTCTTGTCAAAGGCTGTTTGTGGTGGCGTTTTCGGGTTTCCCGGGCGTCACACTTCTCTTTGTGGTAGGGTTTTGCGGGTTGCCCAGGCGTCACACTTTGCAGATGTTTGTCGCATCTTTGTCTTGTCAAAGGCTGTTTGTGGTGGGGCATTATTGGGTTTCCCAGGCGTCACACTTCTCTTTGTGTTAGGGCTTTCCGGGTTTTCCAGGTGTCACGCTTTGCAGATGTTTGACGCATCTTTGTCTTGTCAAAGGCTGTTTGTGGTGGGGCATTATTGGGTTTCCCAGGCGTCACACTTGTCTTTGTGGTAGGGCTTTCCAGGTTTCCCAGGCGTCACACTTTGCAGATGTTTGACGCATCTTTGTCTTGTCAAAGGCTGTTTGTGGCGTCACACTTCTCTTTGTGGTAGGGCTTTTCGGGTTTCGCAGGCGTCACACTTTGCAGGTGTTTGACGCATCTTTGTCTTGTCAAAGGCTGTTTGTGGTGGGGCATTCCCGGGTTTTCCAGGCGTCACACTTCTCTTTGTGGTAGGGCTTTCTGGGTTTCCCAGGCGTCACACTTTGCAGATGTTTGACGCATCTTTGTCTTGTCAAAGGCTGTTGGTGGTGGGGCATTCCCGAGTTTCCCAGGCGTCACACTTGTCTTTGTGGTAGGGCTTTCCGGGTTTCCCAGGCGTCACACTTTGCAGATGTTTGACGCATCTTTGTCTTGTCAAAGGCTCTTTGTGGTGGGGCATTCCGGGTTTCCCAGGCGTCACACTTTGCAGATGTTTGACGCATCTTTGTCTTGTCAAAGGCTCTTTGTGGTGGGGCATTCCGGGTTTCCCAGGCGTCACACTTCTCTTTGTGGTAGGGCTTTCCGGGTTTCCCAGGCGTCACACTTTGCAGATGTTTGACGCATCTTTGTCTTGTCAAAGGCTGCTTGTGGTGGGGCATTAGTGGGTTTTCCAGGTGTCACACTTCTCTTTGTGGTAGGGCTTTCCGGGTTTCCCAGGCGCATCTTTGTCTTGTCAAAGGCTGCTTGTGGTGGGGCATTATTGGGTTTTCCAGGCGTCACACTTCTCTTTTTGGTAGGGCTTTCCGGGTTTCCCAGGCGTCACACTTTGCAGATGTTTGACGCATCTTTGTCTTGTCAAAGGCTGTTTGTGGTGGGGCATTCCGGGTTTCCCGGGCGTCACACTTCTCTTTGTGGTAGGGTTTTGCGGGTTGCCCAGGCGTCACACTTTGCAGATGTTTGTCGCATCTTTGTCTTGTCAAAGGCTGTTTGTGGTGGGGCATGATTGGGTTTCCCAGGCGTCACACTTCTCTTTGTGTTAGGGCTTTCGGGTTTCCCAGGTGTCACACGTTGCAGATGTTTGACGCATCTTTGTCTTGTCAAAGGCTCTTTGTGGTGGGACATTCCCAGGTTTCCCAGGCGTCACACTTCTCTTTGTGGTAGGGCTTTCCGAGTTTCCCAGGCGTCACACTTTTCAGATGTTTGACGCATCTTTGTCTTGTCAAAGGCTGTTTGTGGTGGTGTATTCCCGGGTTTTGCAGGCGTCACTTTCCAGGTTTCCCAGGCGTCACACTTTGCAGATGTTTGACGCATCTTTGTCTTGTCAAAGGCTGTTTGTGGTGGGGCATTAGTGGGTTTCCCAGGCGTCACACTTCTCTTTGTGGTAGGGCTTTCCGGGTTTTTCAGGTGTCACACTTTGC